AGTCATGGTGTGTTATCTTTGTTACTAACATCTCTACTTTTACCGATGGGATGTAGTCTGTTATTTTGTGGCACAGTGTGTACTGCTTTAGCAATTCATCTCAGTGCTTATCTGTTGCTTAGCTTTGCAGGGAGTGGAAGGGAATCCTTTAATGACCAACACCATGTTATTTCCTTAGGGTAATTACTGTTAATTACCGTTCCGCTGCAGTCCCAAGAGCACAGGTTCTGCACAAAGACTTTGAAACACACAGATTGTATTTCTGTCTTGGAACACATCATGCTGCAATTCTTTTTCCTTAGGCTATGACATTCCATTACTACTTCATCAAAGGTTTAATTAAACCCATTAGTTTGCAGAAATGGTCTGCATGCTTCAAAAATGGTCATCCTTAACCTACTAAAATGTTATTTTAGTATTTTTTTTCAAAGGTATAAGCTCTAATATAGTGTTAACTGTTGAGACAAAAGGTCTGAAGTGGAAAGAATCAATTTTTATAAGAAGTATTGCTGATTTATTCCAGGTGAGTGATGCAGATTAAATCACTACCTGTGTTTTATTCTTCCTTCTCTGAAGATTATTCTAAAAGATATTCTTCTTGGGCAGTACATATATTGTTAAAAAAAAGATTTGTGTTAAACTCCGGGGAAATAATTTTAAGGCTTCTGATACTAACATTCATGATTTTGGGATATTAAAGGCAAGCCTTGGATATTCAGTTTTTCATTTAAGTATAATTTCTGTACAGATATTGATTAAAATAATTTAGTGCAATTCTTCCCAGACGTTGGACAGAAGGTCAGACGGAAGAGGTCTTTATATTCTCACAGAAAATGCAGCTTTCTAGATGAACTCAATAGTTGGTTGAAATAGATTTTTATTTTTTTTTTTTAAGAATCTAATCTAAAAAATATTACCTGGAACTTTGTTAAGAAAGCAAAATTCTCCCTGCCACATGCTTAGAACCCTTGAAGTATTTCCAAATGTCACAAAGAAGAGGTCAGCACCATCTTTCTGAATTGTGAGGCCATTGGCTGTCACAGTGCATCAGTAATGATTTGTGCGAGAGTGAAACTGGGTGCCTCAACATCCAGTTCTCTGCCATGTCCTGCATCTATTCAAAAAATCTCCAGAAAGTAAAAAGGTTTGTCTTTCACCAAAGTAGGTCATTTTCCAGGAGTAATTCTAGAGCTAATGAAGCACAGTTTCTACAAAACTGTGTCTCGGTGTTGATTGGCTGTGGTTCTGTGAAGGCATGATTTTCATGCTTTTGCAACAGTTAGTGTAGGAGAAATCTACCAGGTGAATTGTCTGATATCGCATAAAAGGATGAGCTCAACTTGGCAGTACTGAAGGCATTCATGGTGCCTTCTCCTCAAAGGAACCACCTGCTTTTGTAAGCTTACATGAACTTGATACCTGCAAACAGACGTGTCTTCCCTGTTTAGTAACTGACTTTCTCACCTACCAGCTCACTTTGTGTGCATTCGTTCGTGGATATTCACAGCGTGTATGTTCGTGTAGCTGCACCAACTACATTTGACATGGACCTAGATTCAGAAGCATAAGTTCTTCATCGAGCTTAGCATCTGTGCCTTGTGACCTTCATCAAGTTCGTTTCTTATGTTTTTTGCTCCTCGGTTTCTTCTTGTGAGCCTTCAGAAGTATCACTTATTAATTCTAGATGGTGCAATACAGCAATTGGGTCATGTCAGTACCACAGCACTTATGCCAAAATCCAGACATCAAAACCATATCTGGCAAAATATTTCAAGAGAAATAGACCCACTTTATTAGATAATACTTGATTAATCTGAAGTTCATGTTATGTAGAGCTGGTTTGTTCTTTGTGGCACAAATAGTGTGTAAAAAGGAGAGGGGATTGTCTAGAAAGTTATTATGGAGATTAATATGAATTACCAAATAAAGCAAAAATAACACTCAGAGAATATGGAGGATGGAAAGTCAAGCTCAGAAACAGCAAATGCAAGAGTTTGAAGCGGTGTTGGTCATGGTAAAATGCTTCCAGAGGTGAATTAAATTTATCTTGTTGGAATGATGGGTTTCTCTTTTCAGAGGCAGATTCAGGTTTTTGAATAGTTGTTGTACATGCAATAGAAGTGGATGCCTTTTGATTTCTTAGATTTGGATCACGAAGCATTTTAACACTTCCAAGTGGAACGTGACTACTAAAGGGGACTGCAAGGAAAGCTATTCTGTTTACTTAGTAAAGCATTTATGTCCAAAACTGAAATGCCAGATTTGTTCTATGCTATGTAACATCAAAGCAAGATTTTCAGCATCTTTTTACTTATGAACGTTATTAGAGGAAAAAAACAGGCAATTCTGCAGTTTATTTTCTAATATAATTGCATTTCAGTCAAAATGTGTCAGTTGTTTTACTGATAGATTTTTATTAAGGCACAGAACAGAAGGTAGCAGTATATTGCTAGCAGTCCAGAAGTCAACTTCAGTGAAGCCAGGCAATGTTTTAGTATTTCAGCTTAGATTTTAAAATGTAAAGTTTTGCTTTGAAAACTAAGGAAAGAGAATGCAAATTGGCAAACTGCAAGTGTGTTCGTACAGTTGGATCTCCATTCAGTAGAAATGTTTCTCCCTATTTTAATTTTTTTTAAATCGCATTTGAAATAATATTTAAATGGGGGGAATTGAGCAGTGTTGCTCCTTTTGTTTCATTCTTTGAATGCATATGTGCATATATATATATTACATATCTTTTAGATTAGTTTTATCACCTGTAATCCTGCACAAGCTAGATGATATTTGGGTGCACTGCTTAGTGGGAATTTTGATATATTTTCCTCTCTCATGATCCCCACATGCGTTTTGCACGTGCAGGAATGAACTGCTGCTGTCAGACAAGTTCACTGAGCCAGCAGCGTGCCCTGGCAGCCATAGGGCCCCGCACCTCGGGGTGCACCAGGCCCAGCACTGCCACCGGGCGAGGGGAGGGGTGTCCTGCTGTGCTGTGCGGCCTCAGCTCCAGCACTGCTGCGGGTCTGTGCCACTGCGTGAGAAGGACAGAAAGCTGTTAGGGAGCATCCAAAGCACGGCTACGAAGATGGCGAAGCATCCAGAGGGTGAGGTGTGTGAGGAACGGCTGAGGTCCCTGTGTTTGCTCAGCCCAGAGCAGAGGAGCTGAGGGCAGCCCTCATGGTGGCTGCAGCTCCTCACAGGGAGCGGAGGGCAGCGCTGAGCTCTGCTGTGTGTGACAGCGACAGGGCTGAGGGAACGGCATGGAGCTGCATCAGGGGAGGGCAGCTGGGGGTGAGGGAAAGGGTCTGCACCAGAGGGTGGTGGGCATGGAACAGGCTGCACAGGGCAGCAAGCACAGCCCGAGTGCTGGAGTTCAAGACATTGCTCTCAGACATCAGGTTTGGATGTTTGGTGGTGATGTGTGGAGCCAGGAGTTGCACTCAGTGATCCCTGCGGGTCCCTTCTAGCAGGATATTCTACACTCCTATGTAGGCTGCAGTCAAATCACAGTCTTGGCAGCTGCTAAGCCTGGTTGGGTTCCCAATTCAGACCTCTCATGTGCTTTGCTTCTTTGAGATATGGATCACATGGGATCTCTTTTGATCCACAAAACAGGATCCGGATTTCAGATACTTATAGACATTTCTAGAGTTGTGTCAGGTATGTGGGCAGCCTCAATTCACAGTTAAATCTTTTGGAGACAGTACAACAGGAGAATAAGGAAAACAGGCTTGATGAAAGGTTTTCATCTATTCATGATGGCTATGCCACAGGCTCCCAGAATTGCAGATTTTTTTCTGAGAGTATGAAGTTGTTCTGCTGCTTACTCAGCAGTCTGACAGAACTTGAAACTGTCGGACTCCGTCCTGCTGCCTTTCTCCTATACGGAGGCTGAGGGAGAGTTGTTTCCCCTTGTCCATTAATGCTGCCATACGTCTGTGTCACAGTCCCCCTTAGTTTTCAAAATGTTAGGCTGAAGGATTCTAGCTTACCTTTATTAATCCTGTAGCAGAAAACATTGGAATTTTGTTGTTGTTGTTTATTTATTTTTTTTTTTTCAATTATTATTTTCCCTTAATAACATGAGTGAACCCAAATTGCCTGCTACATTTATCAGTGGCATAATGGTCGTACTTAGTTTTCTATTCCCTGGCTAGTAATTCTTAATTGGGTATTTTTCTAGAGCAGTAGGGAAGACCTTGATAATGAATAGTAGTAGTAAGTTTATAATTTGTGATTTTTATATGTAAAGTTAGAATTTATTTCCTTCATTAATTCACATTTATTAATATTTAATGTGTTTTCTTGCTGAGCCATTCGGTATTTCTACTGGAGCTCATTATAACCTGCACAGTTCTTCATTATTCAGAATACTTGTTGTCTCTTGAAAACTGCACCCCTCTATGACTGACCTCCTTTTCACTGTAATTTATGAATATGTTAAATAGCACAGATCCTAGGGGGGTGATCTCGTGACCTTCCTTTCCGCATGCTGGCCATCACCTCCTTCTTCTTACAAGCCTTTAAAAAGTTTTCTATCCTTTTGTTACTGCCTTTGTGGGTTGGTTGTTTTTTTTTTTGTTGTTTTGAAGAGTTTTTGATGATGGCCATATTTTAAAGTGCCTTTTGCAAGTCTGAGTGGATATTAAATGGATCTCCTGCATCCCAAATACTTTTTCCTTCGGAGAATGCTAGTGTATTTGAGAAATATCATGTTCCTGAACAAAGGCAGTTTTGACTCTTTAAAATGTTGTATGTTCTGCTGTGCCTTTCAGTAATTTTGTAGTTTCTATTCAGATGTATAGGTGTTAATTCTTTTAATACATATGCAGAAAGCACTGTTCTATCCCATTTTTTGTTGGTGTCATTGAGTTTGTTGACTGGAAGGTAAATTTGCTTTGGTAAACAGCTGTTCCATGATAGATCCAGTTCTGTTTCTTCCTGTTGGAATAAATATTCAGAATAGCATTGTTGCGACTAGTGTTTCTTCTTTTAAATTTTAGCTGTCCCTTTTCCACCAACGCATCGTTTGACATCTGAAGAAGTGTTTGACACAGATGGAAAACCCAGGGTTGACATTTTGAAGAACCACTTGATAAAGGAAGGTCGAGTGGATGAAGAAATTGCACTTAGAATCATCAATGAGGGTGCTGCAATATTACGGAGAGAAAAAACTATGATAGAAGTTGAAGCTCCAATTACAGGTAATGTTTCTAGATTATTTCACTAATAATTAAATTTTGAAAATATTCACGTTTTTTTTCACTAGTATAGTTTTTCTTAAGGATCACTAGAATAAAATTTTTGTGTAATCTTTTCGAATAATCTCACACAGCATTTGCTTAGCATCACTCAGATGGCCTGAAAAAAGACACTGCTCATTACTGTATAAAACTGAGGCATTGAACCTGCTGGGGATTAAAACTGAGTAAGCAGGGTTTTAACTCAGACAAAAGAGAAAGTAGTTAAATGCTTGTGAATTATGAATTTCTAATTCCTGTGATGTAAGCGGGAGCAGAGATGTTTCCCTGGAACAGATAAGTGAGCTCAGAATTATTCTGAAATCTAAATATGTGAAGAGAAGCTAATTGCTGTTGTTTGAAGCAAATACTGTGACCTAGTTTTCTGAGTGAAAAATACACCTTATAGTTCCTCTGTAGGCGAAATTGACGATTGAGTGCAAAAGATGTTCTTATGAGAGTAGTAGTACTGGGAAGCTAAGACTGTTTTGCCATCATTAATGTAACGGGAGTGATCTGCTGTGATACAAAACTGACTTGCAGTGTTTCTAGGGATATTTTCGTACTTGGACTAGTTCTGTTTGTATTTGACCTGGAGAAAGATGGACTTAGTGTCCTTAATGTATTGTTTTTTGTTGTTGTTACAAAAAATCCAGATTCATAGAAAATATTTTATATTGCGTATCTATAATTTAAAATAATGATTGTAGGTTTTATTTTTTTGTGTGTTCAAATCAAGTGGTCTTTAACTTGAAAGCTTTCTTTTAAATGGGCCTTGGAAAACTAAGTGTTTCCAGATGCTTATTTCAGGGCATCGGCTTGCTTTGATTTGTTAATGTCAGGCAAATGAAAACATGGAAGTAGTATGTGGGTGTTGGCATTTTAAAGAAAATTAAACTACTGACCTGGTGGAAACAAATAACTGAATGACTGAACTCAGAATATTTTCAAGTTCTAGATCAAAACTAATGTCCATATGTTTAGGATTTTTATCTTCCATTTCATTTGGGTAGCTGCCCTGTGTTACTGGTATATTGGAATCTGAAAAAGAGGAATGTTCTCGCAGAGTTTGAGTAAATATCTTCAGAGAAGTGACATACAAGAGGATGCATTTTATTTGGTCTAATGTTTTGTAGGTCTTTGTGGCAGTTGTTTTACTCCAAGGAAATAACAATATGCCAAGTGCCATATCTGATGCTTCTTTCCAAAATTAGAAGGACTTGTTTTCCCCAGCCCAAATTTGCTGATGCACACCAAGAAGTCGAGAGACTGTTGGTCTGCTGATCAGTGACATTTTGTGTCGATAGAAGGCGTAGGCTCTCAAGTGCTATCAGCAGCACCTCCCTGCAGAAACAGGAAAGCAACTCCTGAATTCCATTGCACTGGAAATTCTTGTGGGAATTAGGAGTTAGGAGCAGTTGTCTCTTCCATTTGAGGTTGTTTAGGTTTTGGTTGTTTTTTTGTTTGTTTTTTTAATTGCAAGATGACCTGGCATTGCTGCGTGCTCTTCAGAGTCTTCCCAGCTGTTATCTTAGGCACTTGTGCCTTAGGTTGTGCTGACCACTGATCTTGTACTGTTTTATATTCTACAACCACAAGAAAAATCTACTGTTGAAATAATGAACATGGTTATTTGAAGAAGAGTAGAAAAGAAGATATGATGATGTTGAAAGGTGTGATAGTCAGAAAACAAAGGCATACTCGCCCTGCTTTTTTCAGTCCCTCGTGGAAACAGCAAATTGTTGCAGAGCAGCGTTGCAATACCTTTTCAAAATGCATACGAAGGCAGATCTGTGAAGATACATAAGGGGCTGGGGGAGACAGGAAAGAGCTGCTGACAGCCTTCAAGACCTCAATGCTCTGTGTTTTAACTATTTTTGAAAAATATTCCACAGTCTGCCAGTTGCAAACCTGATTGTTATGAGCATTGCTACATGTGGTGAGAACAGTATCTTAGTGAGCAGCAGAAGGTGAAGCTTCAAAAACTTCTGTTATTTCTTTTTTATGCATGTCTTTTTATTAGAAGTACTTTGTGGCTGTTTACTTAACTATAACTTAGTAACTTTTCTGTTAGATTTTTTTAAATTAATTTGAACAAAATTTTTGCTTGCAGTGTGTGGTGATATACATGGCCAGTTCTTTGATCTAATGAAGCTGTTTGAAGTGGGAGGATCACCTGCTAACACAAGATACCTCTTCCTCGGTGACTATGTAGACAGAGGTTATTTTAGTATAGAGGTAACTGAATATATTAATCTGTTTGTCCTAAATTTTTCTATAAGCACGCTTTCATGGAGATTTGCAAATGAAATTTTAGGTCTGCTGTAACATGTGAATGTGTTCATCCTTGCTCTGCTTCCTTCTATTACAAAGGCCTGCTTACAGGAGGATATTGACCAGCGGTTTGGACTGTCCTGTTGAAATCACCAGACTTACTCGTTTTTCCTCCTCTTTCTGCAGTTGGGTTTTATGACAGTTGAATTCTGTAGTTTTATTATGTATAATGTTGCTTCTCTGGGAATATGCATTAAGGTGCATTTATAAGTTTTTGGAGACCAAAAGTCGTGTCTGAGAGGTCCTTCTCTCAGTGTGTTAAAATATTTATCTCTACAAAGAAGACTCCTTTTATATATATAATGTTATTGAATTATTATTATTATTTTTCTTTACTAAAATTCTGAGGGTGATTACAGACATTCCCAAAGGATGACGTGTGTATATCTGCCATTATTTTTTCAGGTATTTTGAATTCAAATAATTTTTTAATTTTCAGCATGTCTATGAGACGTGTTACGCATCAGAGATATTCACAGATTCGTATCAGTGTTCCAGATGTATGATTTTTCAATTAACTACTCTTCTTGAGCCAGCGGGGGATCTCTTCATAGATGCCAAATCTAATAGAGTAGCATGCCATTTGAAATAGCATTTTTCAATGTTTGGTGTATGAGGTTTTGTATTAAAATTACACTCTTCTAATAATGTATGTGTGGGCATGTGTATGTACTGTGAATGACATGCACACAGGAATTTTCAGGGACAGCAGACAAACAGGAGATGCAGCAAGAATGATTGCCTCAAAAAGTCATTTGTAAGGAAGAATTGCAACGTAAATGTGCTGTATATTCATTTGGTCTTTGTGGCCTGTTCTTGGTGATTACAAAGAATTTAATTGTTCTTTTCAAGGACTTTAACATAGCAACGATGAACTGTAGCAACAAAACAACTTTTCAAGCATTACACTTAAGAAAACCTTGTGGACAATGGATGTGCTTGAATATTTTGATTGGAACAGGTTCATTTGTTTTATTTTATATTATTATAATTTAGTTTTTAATATAATATTTGGAATAGAGTTGTGGAACATGTGAAGATATGCTAAATATACTCTTGAAAACCACTCCAGGATTTTTCATATGCTTCTCCTCATTGAGGTAATCTGTGTCTTTTTTTGCTCAAAGTGGCTGTAGGAACAGCAGTAAAGTATGTGGCAGATTTTCTGAATGAAGTTGAAATGCTGTAAGTACACGGCGGTGGGCCTGTGCTTTGTGCCCACCTTTCCCTGAGAAAGGAAAAAATAGCGTGTTAAAATAATAAATTTAGCCCTTTGCTTCCAACGTTTTCCTTAAAAATTAAATTAAAAAATCTAGATAAATTTTTGCTTGCTAATCCTTAATATTTAGGAAATGTGTCTTAATCTCCAGGTGGAATTTGGGAGTTTTCATATATGGTTACTTCAGAGTTTCTCTTAGTGACTGGAAACGTAACATAGTTTTGATAAAATTGTCTGTTCACAGAACAGTGAAGGTAAGATCTTTAAAAGCACAAAGAGTGAAAATTGATTTTTCTCTAATAAATTCTTTAATCGGTCTATGCTAAAACATTTTTAATTGCATTGATACTTCAGTAGTAAACCATTTTCAATTAAACAAATGCCATCTTTTCTAATGGGAAAATTCACTACATGCTGTACTATATTTGTATAAAGCAGATACTGGGATCAAGATGGAGTTCTTCCCATAGATATACACAAGTTCCTCTTTTCTATACTGAAAGTAATAGGACATAGACAACTAGTTTGTATATAATAATAAAAAAATGTATATGTTGGTATAGGATCAATACAATAAATGTTCTTTTGGACTTAATAGATGCCATGCTTAAAATCCCAGCAATTTTGTTTAGTACTTGTTTATTGGCAGAAAAGCACTGCTTTTACACTTGTCTGTTGCAAATCTTTAAGATTGCCAGTGTCTATAAGTTTTTCATACAAACTGAATAAGCTGAAATATTTCACAATTAGAGAATTTGCCAAATGAATTCACGTATTTATCTGATGATTAGCAATTTTGTCACAAATTGAATGTACTCTGCTGGGAAGTAGTTTTAAAGAGTCTTGGGGACCTTGCAGGACCTCAAGATATTTTGCAGTTGCAAAAACATAGAAAAATGATTAATTTGTATATTTTTGCTAAGATGAAAAACCAATAATGAGTTTAGTTGAACTTCTCAATGAAAGTCCTTGGTGGTTTTTTTTTTTCAATGTATGTCTCCTTTGTTTTCCTTCTTCCTTCATGTACTTACCGTACTATGCAAAGTAACTTTGAAGAATAGCTTCAGGGTTCCTGTATTGATTGGAAAAAAATAGTAGTGACTTGCAGATGACTTCAAGGTGGTCCAGAACTACTGGGATTTAACTTTTTCTGTGCTCAGTTAAAAATACAAAAATTATATTTGAAGCTTAAGAAATACACTTTGGGTGTTCAGGAATGCTGGATGGTAACAGGCTCTAAGTTTCAAAAACTGCATGTTCTGCAGCTCTGCCCCAACAGTCTTTGCTACTGATGTTGCAGTAACGATCACGTATGAAAATTGACTATACTGCCTTAAATTTGCTGCTTGAACAATGAATAGACAAGCAGCGTTTCCATTTTTGGGGGGCAGAAATGGTAAATTCTGACAATTCTTGGTGTAAAAACCACTCTAAAAAATACAAGATGTCTTTAAATTAAACAGATTTTTCATGGATTTTGTATATCATTTATTTCCATTAGCATATGTCTGCTTTCCTTATGAAATCAGATTCTGTGCACTGAGACATGCTTTGCCTAGACGAAACTGAACAAGTTGCATTGCTCTGGTCCAGAACTGTTGTATTGGGTCGGGAAAAGTAGCGTTGTATTTATGTAATGGCATAGTGAGCTGTTCTTATATTTGAAGCTGTTGGCATTCTTACTCAAAGTGTCTGAGTAGTAGCAGGTTTTAAAGTGTAATTTATTGAATGTCTTTCTTTTCCAACAGTGTGTGCTGTATTTATGGGTCCTGAAAATTCTCTATCCAAGCACGTTATTTCTTTTGAGAGGCAACCATGAATGCAGACACCTAACAGAGTATTTTACCTTTAAACAAGAATGTAAGTATTGCCTAAGGAGATAACATTAGTTTACTTTCCACCTAATGATTTCCAGTCTCTCATTTTGCTTGAGAGATGTTTGTTAGTATAATGAAAGTCCTGCAAACTTTCGGAAACCCAGCTAACTTCTGTAAAACTGCTTGCTGTTAAGTGTGGCAGTGGAGTTAAAGTATGTAGAAGGCTGTTGTTTGTAAAGATATGTTATGGAGTAAACTTTAACGCATAAATACTGGAGAGAAGAAAGTTATTTTGGTTTCTTGGCTGTAATCAAGAGTTGTGAAGCTAGCAAGAAAATACTCTGCTGCTGAGTAATTTCCATTCAGGTATTGATTTTAACTATATTACTAAGGTAACTCGTGGTGACATAAGCTGCTCCTACTTTTGAACGTCCATATTAGTATTGATGCACTAATAAATGGAATGTTTACCCTGATAAAACTGTCTTCAGCAAAGATAGAAGTTATGTGATATAATGTATAGTCACTTCTTAGCATTTCACTGTAAATGAGAAGTCACAAACTTCTCAGTACTTTTTAAGGTACGTTATATATTTGTATAGCACAAAATATGTTGATCACTCTGAAGGTAATGCCTCCTATTGATTTCCATGGAAACTACAACAGATACAAAGAGTACAGTAACACTGCTTGATAGAGCAAATTCCAAGGTACAAAACATTGTTTTTCAGCACATTCATCTCCATTAGCTGTGCGTTTTTGCCAGCAATGAAGAAGACCTGCATGCTGCACTTGTAAACATCTGCACCAGTGCAGGCGGCCCACTGTAACCACTGCTGAAATACTCCACCACTGCCTCACTGTGCTCACATCCACTGTTTGGTGTCTCCATAAATGTTCTGCATTGATGGATGTCAATGGGTGTCATTTTTTCCACACGGAGGGATTCAGTTACCTTTGTGTCGAATGCACTTCCATGTTTGACATTGCTTTTTCAGGCTGCTCCTCTGCTGCTATATGTCACATCACAGTGTAGTCTAACAGAATATTGGTAGGAGGTTCACCCTCTGCTGTCCTCATAACATCTGCCTCCATTGTCATGAATCAACTTAATAAAATAGAAGGCATTACTTCTGGAGCAGTTCCCATAGTTCTGTGATGTGTATTTATTTATTTTAAATAAAAATATTTTCTCCACACTTTAAAAAAAACCACCATAATAAATGGAAAACAGTTGTTAGTTCTGGAAGAGAATTTCTTAAAAATGTTCTTGCTATTGTAGTGTTTGGAAATGTTCATTTAAACTCAACAGTATTTGTTTTGAGTATATAATTTGTCAGTTTCACTCTTACATTTATGATCCACTAGACTGCACTCTCTGTGGAACACAAAATTCTTAATTTGTGTTTTCTTTCTTGCAGGTAAAATAAAATACTCTGAAAGAGTCTATGATGCTTGCATGGAAGCTTTTGATTGCCTCCCTCTTGCTGCTCTCTTAAATCAACAGTTTCTTTGTGTTCATGGTGGACTTTCACCAGAAATTAATACACTAGATGACATTAGGAGAGTGAGTATTTTGTGTATTTGAAACTAAGTGGAAGTACAGGTATTTGTGTGATGATAAACAAATTTATGTTTGTGAAGTTGTCACTTTATTTTCTGTTCTTGTCCATTATGGAAGTGTAAATCAAGATCTGAAATTGAGACCAAGGGCTTTTATGTGTGCTCCTGCTTGGCCCAGCTAGTGCATTTTTCGTTGTACATCTCAGTACAATGGGACAGCTGGGATTGTTGCAGACCACACAAAAACTCCTCAAAAACTCCACAAAGTTTCTTTCCTAAGACATGTAGTACATGTAAGAGCTTCATATCTAATCTAAATAGAGCTTTTGATTTTTACTAGATAAGAACTGAAATTCTTGTGGCTTTCAGGAATAGAAGTTAATTGCAGTCTTGAAATCATTTGGTAAATCAAATTGCATATTTCAGTTCTTCTTATATTTCTTCAAAAAAATTATTTTTACTCTCTTGAGCATGTGGATTTTTTTTCTGTTTTGAAAAAGTATGAAACTATGTTTACTACAAAGTTGGGTTGCTATTTAAAATGACAGATATGGAAGGTATTTGCTTAATAGCTATAGAATGCTTCCCACTGTGGGAAAAGTGTTGACTGTATCAGTGATGAGACTGAAAGTTTTTAAAAACTGAATAATTGAAACACTCAGTGGTTAATAGTGTGCAATTTAAAGGGAAGACGGTTGTGATGACATAAGATGTCTTTTTGTAATACATTGTTTCAGCTTCTGTAGAGTGCTGCTGTCAGGTCAAGATTGTATCTGAGAATTTCAAACACAGTTGCTTTCCTTCTTGCATACTCTTTTTTGACTTATTTTAGTTAATTCAGCTGACATCCTGACTACAGGACATGGCTCTTCTGCCAAGAAAGAGTCCTGATTATTCAGGTTTTGAAATACTGGCAAACAGCCTGGGATGAATGTTGTTTTATTGCTAGGTCTTATTTTCAACGTTTGAGTTATTCAATAGGAAATTTAAAAAAAAAGATAACCAGTTGTTTGAAGACTAGAAATAATGAATTGAGCAGAATTACTGCCTTCCCTAGGTCATTCCAGGTAGTGTCTCACTGGGGGGGCAACGGAAAGGAGACGAGAGATGAGAGGAAAGAGTGTTCCCTTGCATTGAATCAACTGCTGGAGTGCATTTTGTGTGGTTTTCCAAAATTCCTTGTGTACGTGTAGTCGTGTCTTTTCTGGTATCTGAAATCCTTGGAGGAACTGGTTATACCAAATAAGTTCTACTTCTGAAGGGACCAAAAACATATATTTTTTTCTCTGTTATGAAAAGTTTTTTGGACAGGTGAATCTTACGTAACTTAAGGTGCACATTCCTTCTCTAAAGGCCTATCTGCTTGGGAATTGTTATCACTTGTATTGTTGAGAGCCTTTGCCAAAATACACCAGTACTTCTTGGTCATGGAAAGCTATAGTATCTGTCATGGCTCAGCAGTCATTCCTGTGCTTTTCCTCTAAACTACAAGAAATAAGAAAATTGTACCTTCTTCATTAAAGATGCAAAAAAGAGAAAACAATAATTTTTTGATTTTATTTATTTATTTATTTTTGTGGTAGTGATGTTAGTTTTAGAACATTTGTGGATATCCTCCAGTTTTTAGATATTTACAGTAATATCCCTAGTACAGTGGCTTTGGTAACTAGTGCATTTATGTAAGAAGATTTTTTTCCCCTCCTGTTGGAATTTCTTTTACAATGCAATAAAGGAAATTCTATTTTAATATATTTTGCAATTTGTGAAAATACAGAGAAAAACGAGTCTGTTTGATTGCATTTTGGTTACAAAAGCGGATTTTGGAGCTGCGAACCCTTTGAAATGTGTTTCCAGATTACAATACTCAACATTCTGTTACTTGTAATGATTCATCCTGTTGATGGGAATTTATAGTTCTTTTACTTCATTATAGGAATTTTGTACAAGAAATGGAGGCTATGATTAAAGAAAAAATGGAGTTGAAACTCTGATAGTATTTTCTAGCAGGAAATCTAATTGCTACACTTGATATAGAATTGATTGAGTTTTATGGCAACTGTTAAGATTAAGTTTTATATTCATACTGAACTTAGATTAAAATGAAATAATTATAAACAATTTGATGGGCCTCCTAGAAGACTTTACCTACAAGTTGAGTTACAGATCTTAAGGAAGAATTGCTCCCATTAACCAATTGTGGAAGTTAAAAACTGACATTGTTGCAGTATTTTCAGAATACATAGAAATAGTTATAAATCTCTTCTGAAAGGATTCAGAAGCGTATAAGTTTGGAAGAAGGTTTCAGATTGCTGAATGAAAGTGTAAGTTTCCAGTGGTTGGTAGCAGCCTTATTGTAGACTTGAATGGGACATGAAGCACAATTTTTGAAGTTGAAATGACAGGTATAGATTGGTGCCGCAGTTATTTTCTTAGAAATTGTTTAATTGTAGCCAATTTATTAGTGCAGCTGGGCATCTTGGCTGTTATTACCTCTACTTGGAGCTTACGAATAGCAATGCTGCTGTAAGGGGGGTTGTTACCCCATTGGAATTTTCAAAAGCTGAAAGACAAAACAGAATCTGAGTGCTACAGAAACTTGTAATTTTGAACCAGTGTTCTGGCTTTCCTCTTTCTTCCTTCAATCAGAGGTATGAATGTACCGTTTGTATTTTGCTTGATGTGTTTGGAAATCATACTTGTTTTCCTGTCCTGGAAAACATGAGCTGAAAAGCAGCTCATAGCAGCATAGAATAGAAATAGTTGCTTCTACGAAAACTTTGGGATTATTACAGGTGAGACAGGAGAAAAAAATAAGTTTGTATACATGTGGAACAAGGGTATGTTGGAGCTTATTTCAAAAAATATCAAAATATCAGAGATATGGAAAAACTATGTTCCTAATTTAGCTTTGTACTAATATTTGTAAATATTGATAGCTCCCTTTGTTTTTGTATCGTCTTTTCTTGTATATTGTTTCTTAGAATTGTCTCTGTTGGTTGCACTCCACTTTTACTTCTCCCTCTCCTCAGAATTAGAGGCTGCTGTCCAGTTTATCTCACTTTTAAATCATTTGTGTTTTGTGGGGTTTTTGGTACTGAATTGGACCATTTTGGAGGCTGAGAATGTCATTGTATTTCACTTTGAATATTGCAGTCAAGGAGAATGATGAGAGAGAAGAATAAAATGGTAGAAATAGATATGAAGCATATATACAAGTTCTGTGGTAGAAATGGGAAATTGTATTGAGATATTTTGCATTTTTCAAGGCAGTCTTAACATGCAGATGTCTGTATGTTAAGAGAAAGAGAGAGAGAAGTGGTAAGGAAAGGCTAGTAAACTGTGCTGTTCTGATGAGGCCTTAGCTCTTCCTGCATCACAGATGCAAAGAAAGATTGTCAGAGCTTTCTGGAAAGTAGCATGAAGGAAACTGTGTGCAAAAACAGTCTGTTATAAAGGATTGCAATTTATTTTTCTTTTAGTCTCAGTCTTAGAGCTAATCAGGTTTCAAAGTGTCAAGTGAATTTAATTAAAAAGTAATTCTGTTATGTTGGTCTTTACATTTGCTTTTATAATGCTCAAGGCTACATTAGGATGAGTTATAAGCTCGTGTGTTTATATACACATGTAAAAATCTGCACTGGATATGGCTGCTGATGAAAAGCACATTTATAAATATAAGACATTGTTGTTAGAAATGTTGCCTTTTTTGTTTTTTGAACAATCATGTGGTTGCCTTTTTTGTTTTTTGAACAATCATGTGGTAACTTTATTCAGTCTTCATGGGTTGGCAGCGGCTTCGATAGTTGCATTAGAGCTTGGCATACACTGATATTGTACACGTATTTAAATTAAATAGGTGGTGTAAAATCCTCTTCTTCTATCTAGGAAAATACCATACACTTGTGATGCAAATGTGGTGTGTGAAGCAACTTCTGTAAACATCAAGACAACTGTATACTATTGCGAGCCTTCTGGTTTATTAGCAGAAGTTCTTATAAGGAGACAGTTCTGTTCTGCAAATCGGTCAGCAGCAGCATCCAGCACATGAAGGGAAATCACAGCTTAAAGCAGTTTAGTCATTACTCAGAAATAAAGAAAAATTCTATGTAGATGCAGTTTTTTTCTTGATGAACTTCTGTCTGTGTTACTGACTTTCAGGAAAGTTATTTAACTACGTGAACTAAATAATTATTTTTTTGGCATACTCATTTCTGGTAGAGGACAGATGTCGTGGTAGCCGTGACAGTAAAGCCTAACTATCAAGATTGCCGCAAGTGCTTCTTATTTCTGGGAAATTGCCAGTTTGTGAAACTTGTAATACTCTAATTTTTGTCCTGTGAAGTTCATTCACCCTGATGTTTCGGTTGTGTTGGTAGAGTGTCTCTTTCAGACACATGACCATCCATTTATAGATGCTGCTTTGTTGATTTATACTGCCAAGCCTTCTGCTGAAACAGTATTTTAGGAATCTTGATTCTATGCCTAGTGATTGGTATGGAAATGTTTGCATAAAATTGAACTGTCTCTTAAAGAAGAGAGGCAGAGAGATATACGTTTTTTTCCTGATTTACGGTGGATGATCACTCTTCTATTGAGTTCTCAGTGACACGTAGGCTTGATCAGTAAAGAGCCTTGAAATGTATGGGGCGCTCCAAGAAATCTCTTTATAATCCCTTACTTTCTTTCTGTGGTATGCTGAGATTTCCTTTTCTTTAGTAATATCTGACTGCTGCACTTCTCTGACCTTCATGTGGTTTTTAGAATATTACTACACAATAGTTCTCAGAAAATTAGGACAGGTTAATTAAAATTGATGTCTGTGTCTTCAAGTATATGAAACTTTCGTGAAGGTCTTTTGTTTCAGAGATACAGTAGTTTTAATTTGCTGTACCTTCATCTACCCCCAAGGTTTTGCTATTCCTCAGTTTTCTCGTCTGTATGGAGGTGTGGTACACCTCACTGCAGCAGCCCTGACTTCTCAGTACCTGGAAATTAATTAGATTTAAATATCTTATGGTCCATTAGAAAATACGATACCCATTTCTCTTTTAACACCAGACATAGTGATTCTTATTCTTGAAAAAAATTGTCTCAATTCTCAGTTACTTTAATCTTGCTTAGAAATACATTAACCTAATTTGTATTGAGATTCTGCTTTGTCATGGTCACAGCGTGCTTGGAAATGGTTATTCATTAATGCTTGCTTTGAGTTGACTTGTCCTTTATTAATTTTTATTGCTGTCACTACTTAGAGAAACCTTTAAGCTCATTTTACTGATTTGATATATACAATCTGGGTTGAGTAGAAGTGACATTTTCTTAAATTCTGAAATGTCTTGAGAAATATGCCACTTGGTAGATTGTCTAGTGAAGTACAAACTGATTTGATGTGCATCTAAGTATATTAATTTTTTTAAAAGCTGACTTCCTAACTTCAAGAAATATCTACATTATTGTTCCAAATGCTATGAGAAACAAGCTTGGAAGAATTGCGTTGCTTGCAGCAGCAAAACCTTTTCATTTATAATGTCTTCTTCTAACCATGTGGCCAAAGTCATAAGAAAAATTCTTGAACACTATCTATCTCAAGGAAAAATTTCTTAGAAATGCTTTCTAGACTTTCAGCCTTCTATGTTGCAGGAAACATCGATCAAGAAACAATGAAACTTCCTTATTTGAATGCTTCTGTTACTTTCTAGACCCAATTTTTTTGCTGGAGGTTTAGAAACTTGATGGTTTAATCTACAGAAATTCAGGTACTTGCAGATGTTGATGGACTGATTTCTTCAATCTCAAAGGAATATACAATGCTGGGTTTATCATCCAGTGTGGGAAACGTTAAACCACTGGATTTTTAATATTGAATAAATTCCAACAACAACTTCAGTTAATACCTGCCTTGCCATTATCTGGCAGGAGTTTGTAAAGATCTGGACCTTTCCACTTATGTTACAGGTGGCAGCCTCGGGAGCTCTGATTTTCCAGGGCATGAGAGAGCTTGGCACTACTGCTGGTTCCATATTTGAATGGATTCCTATGGACCGTTAGACTCAAATTCACCAGGTGCTCACCAAACCTCCCTTCGAACCTGTCATGAAGAGTTAAGTGTTCTCTAGTACCATCAAAGTCATCTTCTTTGGTATGGGAGGTAAAGTGAGATAAATGCACTGTCCATCAAAGAACCGTTCCTACATTTCTTGGATAAAATCATCTTGTGAACAAACTCCAGCTACATAAAGATCAAATAAACTTTACATTGAATCTGGGAAAACTGATTTCATTTCTGGGGCATCAGAGATTCGTTGAATGTTATTACTTAAACAGGGTATTTTCCTTTTATGTTAACAAATGATACTGTCCTTATCACTGGCCCTTTTCACTGTGGTTACCAGCAATGGTATAGGCTGCTAAAACAAGTGTTTCTAAGTGAAAATCTTTTAAGAAGCAGCTAGAAAAAAGAAAAAAAAGCAAACAAAAAAGACCCTCCAGAATGTGCATGGCCCATTGCACCAGGGCTGTAGTTGAGAAATAGAGTCTGTATGAGAGAAGGCCAGGATGGCTGAGCTAGTCATCTCTTCATTGGCGAATGATCCATTACGGAGATGACTGCTTCAGGGATTTGGTTTGGGGGTTGGATTTTTTTGGATGACGTATTTAGTTGGTTATAGTCAGTGCTAATTATTCATGCTTTTCTTTTATCATTCCTGTTTTCTGTACTGTTTCTCTTCCTGGCTAATTCCTGGTAGTGTCTCCAGATTGGTAGATGCGGCATGTGCATGAAAAAGGACCATCTTGTTCCTTGCCTGTAACTTGACTTTATATTATGCATATCCATCAGTCTGGAATTTATCTCACTTCTTCTTACAACTAATAAACCTTATTGCTCTTAACAGGTTGGGTTCTTTTGGCATGCCTCTGCTTTATTTCATGACAAGGAGAGAACAAATATAAAAAGCTATTTATCTATAATATGGTTGGATTTCATTCTCTAAATGCTTGGTATTGATGGATATGTAGCCTAAAAAATGTATAAAACTTACAGATTTAATATTCAGAGTATTTTTGTGCTTTGCTTTTTTCTCAAACAGTTAGATAGATTCAAAGAACCTCCAGCATTTGGACCAATGTGTGACTTACTGTGGTCAGATCCTTCAGAAGATTTTGGAAATGAAAGTTCACCAGAGCACTTCAGTCACAATACAGTCAGAGGATGCTCATACTTTTATAGGTGAGAGTATGCTAGAATGTACTTAATATTTTAATACTAAGTCTTCCCACATATCTTTAGAGGATTTATTTTACTCACGATTGTTTTCATTTCACAGCTATCCAGCAGTTTGTGAATTTTTGCAAAATAATAATTTGTTGTCAATCATTAGAGCACACGAAGCACAAGATGCAGGGTAAGTATGTCCCTTTGAGAAATAATTCACAATGTGAAATGAAAGATAATTGCTTATTCCTGTAAGATGTAAAATAATCTGTTTGATTTTACAGTTATAGAATGTACAGGAAAAGTCAAACTACAGGGTTTCCATCATTAATAACAATTTTTTCAGCACCTAATTACCTGGATGTCTACAATAATAAAGGTAAGAACTTGTAATTAATAACTATGCAATCATAAAATGAAAATGTGCTGTTAAAATGTCTTACTAAAGAAGCGATGTAATATCAAAAATTTTCTGCCAGTTAGTAAAAGACCAAAAAATCCTGAATAAAAGTTGTGTGATGAAGAAGAAAGTGTGACATACTCATCAGTGGCCTGGATGAAGGGATAGAGTGCACCCTCAGCACGTTTGCTGATGATGCAGAGCTGCAAGAAGTGGCTAACACACCAGAAGGCTGTACTGCCTTCACTGAGACCATTGAGAGTTGGGTGGAGGGGAACCTAATGTGGTTCAGCAAGGGCAAGTGTAGGGTACTGCATCTGGGGAGGAATAACCGCCTGGATCAGTATATGTATGCTGGAAAGGAGCTCTGCAGAGAAGAAGCTATGTGTTCTGGTGGGCAGCAGATTAAAGCCACCTTTTGGTGTGCCCTTGCGGCCAAGAAGGCCAGTGTTATTGTGGAGCAGTTAAAACGAGTGCAGACAGCAGGTCAAGGAATGTTCTCCCTCTCTAGTCTGCCCTGATGAGTACACACCTAGAGTACTGCCCAAACTGTTTGAGTCCTCTTAGCTGGAGATACTAAAAATTTGCCTGGGTGCTTTCCAGCACAAATAGCATTAATTTGAATCCAACACCTCTTACCTATTCAGTACATTGCATTTTCTCCTTTCTGCTTCTGAAACCCTTATCTACCCAACTCAAACCACTTATGTAGGATGATTAACTGTCTAGAGAGTAAGATGAGCTGCTGTTACTTGTATCAAAGGTAAAGGAGTAAAGAAAAGGAGAAGAAGCAGTGCTGGCTTTCTGGTTTTCTGCCATCTCTGTAGATATTTTTAAGAATCCTTTTTCCCATCACCTATTCCCAGTGTGGTGCAAACTTAAGTAGGGAAAAGTACAACCAAGACTTATTTAGCCTTAGAGTGCTTCTGGTTGTTTGTTTGTTTGTTTGTGCTGTGTTTCTCTGTGTTTCCTCTTCTCTTTGATTTTCTGAATTTCAGTGGTTATATTACACTCTACAACAGGGACTCAGAATGCAGGCTTATAATATGGGAAGACACACAGCAAGTGTAGAACCTGAATCTGGATATGCTGCTATTCTGAGTTCGCATTTTGTTAAAGTTGCTGAAATCATACCTTTCCAGGAACTTTTGAAATTATTGCTCATTATGGACTTTTAATAGGATAGTAGAGGCACAGTCTGACATGTAAGGGTACATTAAACTGTGATGCTTGGAATTAAATACAGTCTAAAGTTCTCCATTAGATATCTATCATTTAAATATTGCAAAAGAAAGCATAGTTATCTCTGGGATTACTTTGTCTGTAATACAAAATAGAAGTAAAACAAACCTGTGACTTTACATTTGTAGTACTTCATAAGTTTTAAACATTCTTTCCAAAATGTCTGAATTTTATTTTAGCTGCTGTTTTAAAATATGAAAACAATGTGATGAATATTCGTCAATTCAATTGTTCTCCTCATCCTTACTGGCTACCAAATTTTATGGATGTTTTTACATGGTCCTTGCCATTTGTTGGAGAAAAAGGTAGGCAAGAATCACACACCAATGAATTTCTTTCCAATTTCTCTGTTGTCAGGAAGGTTTTTTGTTTGGTTGGGTTGTTTGGTTTTTTTTTTAATTAATTCATTATTTTTGTGAAAATTTGTATCTGCATTTGTCTTTATTGGATGGAATACTTGGATGTTTGATTAGAGAGATTTGGTGAAGTTTTTAGACTGATTTCAGGGGTTTTGTTTGGCATGTGAAGATATGTCTTGTACAACTTGCTGCACAGTTCTGGTTGTTTTCTTCACCTGTTTCAATGCAAGTAGTTAAACTGGATCTAATAAAGCAAAGGTCTTAATAGAAACTATAATTTCCACTAAGGAGATATTTACCTGCGTTGTTAAGAATTACTTTTGGGCATCAAATAAAGTTGACATGAAAACTGTTCTTATTCTACAAAAGGCTAGGTCATATATAATTAATAAACTTGTATGGCTATAGATGTAAACTATGTTGAGATGTTCCTGTAAAATTTTAACTTTATTAGGTAGTTATAACAGATTGACCTTCATTAAAATAACTTATTTCTGCTATATTTTTTCTTGAAAAGATAATTTAGCACAGGTCCTTTTTTTCCCCTCTAGAGTTAATAACTTTAAATCTAGGATAATAGAACTCCAAGTAGTCTCCAGTTAGTAAGCAATGAGGTTAGAGGCTATTGGGGTCTATTTAAAATGCTTCTGTGATAGGAACTGCTCTTTTCATGAAGGAGATCTGGAAAGCTCTCTACATTTCCTGGAAAAATACTCTAGATATTTATGTATTTATGGTCATACAGACCTAGGATTCTAGATTTGATTATGTTGTCTTTAGGAAGTCCATTCAGCACTTCTTTATTGTTTTTAAACCAAGGACATTTAGAAGGAGATTTTTGTTTCTCCTTGTCTTACCTGATGATGCATTAAATAACCCTTTGCTATTAAAAATGTTCATGTTGTTTATTTTACTTCTCTACAATGCTGATAATGAGTCTGTTATGCCTAAGACTGCTGAAGTAATGTACCTTGTAATTTGTCTCAGCCTTTGGGTATGCACATACTTCAACTTCCAGTGAAGGACATGTTGTCAATATTGTTTGGTCTACACAGTTAAAGTCAGAATTATTCATTTTACTTCTTCAGCAAAGTAGAGAGTAACTCTTGACCAAGAACAGAGAAGAATAGTCTGGAATGGGTTTCTAAGTGCTTCCGAAGGTGGCAGAACCTTGACCATTTTAAAGAAAAGCCTGATATATATGTGAAAGGCTTTGTGGTAGAATAATGAGGTTCCCAGAAACAGCAAAATTGAGACAAGTTTGAGTATCCACTGTGTCTTTTCAAACTCCCCTTAAACACTGACAAGCAGTTTGCATCGTATTTTTATCATAATATTTTTCTGCTTCGGTGCTTCTGCTTGGTGCCTGCAGGTGCCAGGAATGGAATAGCTTTCACTTTTTTATGTGAATTTGAGCAGTCTCAATATTTTCACATATCAGTAAATTTTGCATAAAATTGAATTGAAATGGACTTGCCATGATGTAAAAAATACTAATGTACAAGAAGATAATTCATATCTAAAGTAATTCCTTGTGGGATAGGAAAGAAAGCCATGCTATGTCTTTGATAGGTGGTGTGGTTTTTTCTATGAGCTTTTTAAATTCTATGACAGCATATGTTTTAGAGACCAGATTGCAGAGAAGAGTTTATCATGTGGGAAGCTCATTCACTACAGTTGCTGGTGACTGGTTTCATCTTATGTGCTTGGAAATATTTAAAATTCTTGAGGCAATTAATTAAAGTTTGTTTTTTTCACGTGCAGTAACAGAAATGTTGGTGAATGTTTTGAGCATTTGTTCTGATGATGAACTGATGACAGAGGGAGAAGATCAATTTGACGGTAGGGTTTAATATTAGATATGGTTTTTTTTTCATGGAAATAACTTCTGAAGTACTAATTAACTCAAAGTGATGTAATATATTACCTGAAATTTGAAGGAAATTGCCTACAATTTTTTCCTTAGATGATGAGTATTTTGGAGGAGGAAAGGGAATTTTATTTTCGTGTCTGTCATCAAGAAGGAGTAGTTGTATCCTTTGCAAGAATTCATATATGACATATTTAAAGCTGAAATGTTTTGAAAATTTTTCAGAATTTGTTGGTGTTTTATATTTATTATGAATTTTTTAAGCTCTTTAATTTCTTAATGTCTGCTCTTTGGGGAAGAGTTGATGCAGTCAAAAGTCAGATCTAATATTTCTTATGGCAAAGTGCTATAGACAAAGTATGAAGTAAAGGTTTAAACCTTGGTGTTAGAGTTAAAGCATAAAAGTTAATGAACTTTGTGTACATTGTGTAACACTGACGTATGTAATAAATAACATCTTGTGAATTGTTATAACAGTGGGTTGTTAAGGAGGTGTTTGTAATGTGATGATAAAGAAGCAACATTAGACTGGTGGTGAAGAGGCACGTAACATCAAGACTTAGCACATCGTCCTTTTCTTTTCCTACAGTACTGCTCTATGTCACATCTGAAAGTTTTTCAGACATCCCTTATTTTATCCAATAACAGAATTATTTGCTGAATTGATTGATGGCTGGGGGGAAGGAATGAACATTTTGACAGCCTTTGAGTAACACTAAAAATGAATTAAAAGAGATGTTAGTGACATCATCCAATTCTTAATCTTTGACAATTACTGTGTAAAAATTCAGTAGCAGATTTGTGTTGTGCTTAGGCAGCTGTGTGTTTTAGGTTGAAATGCAATAATTATGAGCCACTTGAACTTTGTTGCCATTTAGGCTGTGGATAGAAACATGGAAAATTAGGAATAGTCTCAGATGTGATCCTGCAGACAGTGAATTTATGTTTCTTGTGCACGTAATCCTACTGAACTGAAGATAAAGCAATTACACCAAACATCTGCAGGCTGAGGCTTGATGGTGTTCTGCTATGCTAGGATTTAGGTGGTCCAGCCAAAGCGCGCTCATCACCTGGTTGCATATGCCCTATCTTCAGTACAGTAGTTCCAGTTTCCTTATTTGATTTATTTTATTCTTCTGTCTCCTTTAACAATTTCTTTGCTTGATGCATATCTCTTAATGCCTCCTAGGTACTGTCTGTGCTTTATCTTTCTCTGTGAATAATTTTTTTTAACTGTTGACTTTCAAGTTTCAATTGTTTATCATCAAATTTTAACTTATACTCAACAATTCCACTTCTTATTCAAATAATGCATTTTTAAGTGTTGCATTTTTCCATTTTCTTTTTTCATATTTCTTCTCCATTCCTTCTTTATTACCATTACCAGGTTAAATACCTTTGTTTGATTTGTCTCACTCATCTTTTTCTCCATCATTCACTTCCTTTTTTTCTGGACTCTCCATCTGAAGAGCGACTCATGTATGGCAATAAAAAAGGTACAGATCAGACAGTAGGAATGTTTTGAAATATGGCTTCCTAGAACCTGCTGGTACAAGTATTAATGCAGAAAATATATTTTTGTTGAGAGACGGACAGTATTTTATTTTATTACCCATTTTAAAGAGACATTTATAAAGGCTTATGTATTTTGTTAATCAGAAGTCATATTCCAAGACATCTGTCTTTCTGTGCATGAATCTTTCCTCCTTTCTTCCATTCCCTTTTTTTTGTTGTTGTTTTTTTTCCTTTTTGTAGAATTTCATTCTTTTACCTATTTCTAAAATTATATCTTTGGCCCTGCATGTGTAGGGAGCATTCAGTCCTCTGTTGTGCTTTTTTAAAAATTTCATTGTGAGCATTTTCTGAGATTGTGCATGGAATGTGTTTATAGTGCTCCAAAACCTGGCGTGTACACTACTTTAGCTTCCTTCATTTGAGATATCAAAAGGGTACTTCTGATTGTCTATGCAGTTTTGAAGATGACTTGATGCAAAATTTAAGAAGTCATCTACTCATTTAAATTCTGAGTCTGTCACCCACTTTTCAGAAATCCCAAGGTGGATATTTCTGTGCAGGAAAATTCTTCTGGCTGTTACTTACCTTCTAGTCTGTTTGCTCTCTGTATATATCTGCCACTTTAAAGAATATTTCTCATTTGGTGCATTGGATCATAGGGTTAGTTGCAACATTTCTGTGAATTCTTTGGAGCGTAACAGTATGAGCATTATAGAACTCCCATGGAGGGGGCATTAGGAATGGGCAGTGGGAGAGTTCTATCATATCCCCTCTAGTTTAGGGTGTAATCAAAACACTCTCCTGCAAGCAGATGCTACTTTGCTGTTTTAACTCTGAACAAACAAGGGTTTAATAGTGCCGCTGCCTGAAGTAACATATTTGGCCTTTTTTCTTGGCTGTGCTCCCTCTGAAAGGCTGGAACAGCATAGGATCATTTAAAAACAATACTCTAAACCAGCATTTCTCCTTTAATGGCATAGTGATACCAGATTTGAGATATGGGCACCAGCAGCGCCTGTAATGGGCTCAGCTTGTGCATTACAGCCCTGCAGCAGTGGCCTTCAAGGAGTGACCAGGTGAAGGCAGGAGGAAAACTGAGAGAAATGATGGAAAGAGGAAACATGGAAAATGTGTGGACCTTCATTTAGCTCCACCTTTTTCAGAAACTCTGAAAGACCTCTCTTCTCAATCCGGATCTCGTACTGCTCTTTAATAATATTCAGAGAGAGAAAGTAAAACATCTCAAATATTAAAAATTCAGATAAGTTACTTTCAGTAAAAATAAAAATTTTCGGCCTATTCCTACATTTTTTTTCCTTGGGCCACCACTTTTTTTTGGTGTCTGTATTTCATCAGTGTTGTCCCTTTGTCTAAAAACGCTTTACTTAGTTGTTTGTGGGTTTCTTCATTCCGTTTCAGCGAGTTGACAGATAGTTGTCATACCCCAGGGTTCTTTCATTGTGTTTGCACAGAGCTCTCTTCCTGCCTTTTTTTCTCTTGTATTTTCTTTGGTTTGGTGTTCAGGATGGGAAATCCATCCACTCTTGTGTGACAAAAAGCCTTGTGTTCTTGCAATGGCGGTCTGAAAAATCTGACAGTTGTGCTGTTTTGGTGTCCCCACATCTGCCTGTACTGCTTAGGGGACCTGGGTTGTCCTCAAAAGGAAAGGAGGATGACTCTGGCATTTCCTCATTGAACAAAAATAAATGTTGAAGAGAGGCACCTCTGTTTTTATATCAGTGCAGGCAAAGGCAGCTCTCATCTGAATCCAAAGCCTCTTTCAGAGTTTTATCTTCACTTTTATCTATTACAAATGACATTTCTCTGCTCTGTGGAACATGCAGTATTTATTCCATGCCCTTGGTATTAGCAATTTCTGCAAATGATGCAAACCTAAGGTGACATAGAACATAGAATTAATCAGTAAGGAAGGTCACACTACAGTTCTTTGGCATTTTAGTTGAGTTTTTTGTGAGTGCAGGTGTATGTTTTGGGGAGTTGACTAAAATCAAGCAAATCAGCATGTTTTCTCTCTGTCAGCTGTGCAAGAATTAGCAATTGTGTATTTTTTTCTTTATCTTCTGTGTTAAGTTACATACCTGTATTTTGATACACAGATGTCAGAAAGTGATTTCTAGCCTTTTGATGTCTAAAGGGAAGCTACAGGAAAGAAGGGGACAGACTCTTTGACAGGGTGTATGGTTATAGAACAAGGGGAAAGAGCTTCAAGCTTCAGGAGGGCAGGTTTAGGTTGGAAGTAAAGTCTTTCACAGTGAGGGCGGTGAGGCACTGGAACAGGTTGCCCAGAGATGTGGTTGATGCCCCATCCCTGGGGCCTTTAAGGCAAGCCCTGGGCAACCTGATCAAGCTGTGCGTGTCCCTGTTTGTTGCAGGGGAGCTGGACTACATGACCTCTAAAGGTCCCTTCCAACTTATGAGGATTCCAGGGTTCTATAAAACTTAAGCAAAGGAATTACAGTAGTTACTACACTGTAATGGTGGTTTTACTTTGGATGCTTGCCAGCTTGATCAAATCTTTGTGAACGTCCTGAACTTTTGTTTTGTGGACACAGAAGTTGTTACGGTTTTGGTAGTATTCTGAATTTGTATTTGTAATATTGTGTCCCCGAGTGCTGGGTATTGACCTCCTGGGAAGAGTACTGAACTTCAATACTTGTGTTGAATTTGGTGCACTCAAAAAGGGCAGCTTTGTAAATACCAATGAGCTTGAGACTCTCTCTTATTCCATTGAAAGTAGGTACAGCTGCTGCACGGAAAGAAATAATCAGGAACAAAATTCGTGCAATTGGCAAGATGGCAAGAGTCTTCTCTGTTCTCAGGTATTTGAGTTGTTTCTGCTTTCTTAAAATCCTTCTTAATCTGTGTATGCTAGGAAAACACATCTCTGTTCCAGGATAATAGATACCAGACATTTTTTCAGGGAGGTCATCACGCCTTAGAATCTCATTTTGCATGTTGGTGTACCCCACTGATGTTGGTACTTTTGATTAAATAATATTTTTTTGTTGTTATTTTTTGAGGTGTGTCCAGCCATTTGGTTTAGTGGGTAATATTGGCAGTAGGTGGGTGGTTGGACATGATAGTCTGAGAGATCTTTTCCAACTGTAATGATTCTATAGATTAACTGCAACAATGAGAAGGGACAATACAAAAATAGAGATACTGAAATGAGAAGCGTGAAAGTGAAGGTCCGGGCTGGCTGGGAAGGTGTCTGTCATAGCAGAAAGTTGAGGACTTGTTTTGTTTGTTTTTCTTTTGTTGTTTTGAACTGTCCTGTTTGTTTCATCCCATTTTCTTGTACCAAGCTAGACAGAAATTGTATTTACTCAAAATATAGTATGCTTATAGTATGTCAGTATGTTATAGTACTTGCATAGCGTATTTATGTCTTTCCACAGAGCATAAGTATTCAAACAGGCTTAATTTTTTGAAATTGGTCTCTCCTGGAGCACAGATGCTTTCAGTGAAACTGTGGGTTGTTTTATGGTGCTGAGTTGCATTCAGTACCTCATGAGGTATTCACTGCTACGTTCAGAGCTGATAAGTCTGCATGTGAATAGTTGCTCCTATGTTGGTTCAAAAGTAATCAGTATTTGTAGTTTCTAGATACCAGAGAGAGACGAATATGGCATAGAAATATTTTCCCCTTTCTAGTTGATTGAATTTGAATTTGCATCAGTCTTGACATGCATAAAGCACAGTAAAAGTAGGCCCTCCTCCCCAATAGAGAATACCAGTTTTCATGAGCAGATTCTTACATTTTCATTACTATTTTCTCTTAAACCAGGGAGGAGAGTGAAAGTGTGCTGACACTCAAGGGTTTGACTCCCACTGGAATGTTACCTAGTGGAGTGTTGGCTGGAGGACGACAGACCCTGCAAAGTGGTAATGATGTTATGCAACTTGCTGTGCCTCAGATGGACTGGGGCACATCTCACTCTTTCGCTAACACTACACATAATGCATGCAGGGAATTTCTTATGCTTTTCAGTTCTTGTCTTAGCGGCTGATACAGGCGGAATGTTATGTGTTAATCAGGCAATGTGAAATGGATACTTAACCAGGGTATAAAACTAAAAGCAAATGAGTTTAGCAGTGTCAGGCCACAGTTTTCAGGCTTTGAGCATCCTCAGTTTACAATTCTTCAGATGGTGCGGATGGGGTGCCCTAGTAGATCTGGTGTTAAGATATTTGGTCGTAACAGATACGAAAATTGCAATGTAATTTTGCATCCTCGTCTGCTTTCCATGAAAATGACTTTACTATGTATCTGTTAGTATTTTCATTGACAGTGTCAAATTCTCACTGGTATCAATCCTAACAAACGACTACAGGCTGCAGAGTGCCATTTTACACTCCATTGATAGATTGAAATGTGCTTCGTTTTGTACCCTGGTAATTAATGCCAAAGTTTGTTCTCTATGTTGTTTGTCAAATGTTCTATGTATAATTGACCTCCCTGAATTGTCCTTGTAACATGCTGTTTCCTTCCTCTGCAGATGTAGCTGCTTTCTTAGATCTGTCTGTCTCTCTCTAGGTATAGATGTATGTCTGTATAAGTGTTAAAATTAAACCACTATCCCAGACACTTGTCTGTCTCTTGATGTAGAAGCAATGTTGTAGCACCTTGTTTTTGAGGTTTGCTGCATTTGCTGCTGCACACTGTCTGTGCATTTTGAACAATAATGTACTTGAAAATTATTCAGTAATTGTTATAAAATCAGTTGAGAATAAAGGGATTGAATTTAAAACTTGTAAATAAATCAAAATAAAAGGGTGTTACTAAGTGTGCATATATTTTTTGCATGAAAATAAAAAGAACTCTATACAAAATACACCTGTAATCTGGCTCATTGAATATTTTGTAAAAGTTTTTCTTTTTTTTTTTTTTTTTTAGTTTGTTGAATTATTGGATCATATTTTTCACAAGACCCATAAATGATTAACCAGGCTTAGAGACAATGCTGTGAGATTGTACCAAATGTATTACAAGAGTGAAGTCCAGGTTTGCAGTGGTGGATAACTAAAATAGATCCATCTGAAAGTGGACTTCATATCAGCAGCACTCAACATAAGATATTCAGACTTTTTATTTGCTATCCTCAAGATTTAATAGAAAGTATAAAACGGTTGTGTTTGACCACTGAATTTTATAGCTATTGAAAGATTGTGATATATTGATTAATTGAATAACATTTTTACACAATCTGTTTTGCAAGAGTAGCTGCTTTTCTTGTTTTGTGATTTAGGCTGCTCATTTGAATATTTTTAAATTTTCTATTAGAATTTTTTGTTGCTTTTTTTTTTTAAACCCTTTCACTACATTTACTATTAAACAATCAAAGCTGTTCTTTTACAGCTTTGAAACATGAATGTCTCATTTTAAGTCATTTCTCAGTGGACATATAATGTCTACAAGTAAATTTATATGTCCAGTGTATGTATGTGATTGTTTTGTGAATGTCTATAACAAGAAGTGGTGTACGTTTCCTAATCCATCCAACTATTCCAAAAGCATATGTTCTAGTTTTAATTTTCATTGTCTAATAAGGTACTTTATTATGCTTAAAAAAATGAGTTTGTATTCCTCTCACTCATTTAACAGTTTTTTAACCATGTTACATTGCAAATATTAGAGAGGATCAAACTGACTAGAAAATTTTTTTAACATAAAGCATACGGCTTTCTAGCATTACTGAAAATGTGGGATGTTTGGAAAGTATGCAAAATGCATTTTGGATTTTTGTGGGTGGTTTTTTTTTTTTCTTGACTAGAATTTTCTGATGGCAATATTCCTTGATGCATTACATTAATATACATCACTTGTTCAATCATGCTGATGTGCTAAAGATCTCCTGCTGACTGTCAGTTCTCCTTAATTCCACTAACTTTGTTTTTACAGATAAGGATTTAACTCAGTTCTCAAAAAGAACTTTTTGGATTTGTTACACTTAGTTGCAGAACTGAAAGTAAATCAAAAATAAAATAAAGCTTCACTAATTGATGCTTTACTGTAACCATCACATCAGTGACTTCATATTCGCAGCAGAAATATGGTCACTGATACTAAGATTTCCTACTACAAATTTTTACTTACTTTTTGAAATATATTGCACGTGTGTTGATCAGTAGGCTATCAATAACTATCTCAAATCTCTAGATTTGAGAAAGCAAATAGTATCCATTGCTGTACTATTTTTGCTTACCCCATTTTACTCACAATAAAATTTGCTCAGATCTAAGCAGGCTGTTTACCAATACATTTATAAAAAGCTGTGGAAGTTATCAGGATTGGGAGTGTGTGTTTACATTCCTCTCAAATCTTAGCAGCTACTGCTGCTGTTGGAAGCATCCGTTCAGCCAGGCCTCCTGTGCTTCGTAAGGAACAGGCCGTTCCCATAGACGTGGAGGTTGGAGGCATTGACGTGGTGCTGCGTGGGGCACCAGAAGTAGTAGTCCATTGAACTGAGCTGCTCTGTGGGAAATGGTTGAACAGATTCTTACCACAAAACAGATGAATCTGAGGGTAAACGAGAAATTTGAACTACAGTAAAAAGGGTTAAACAAAGACAAATCCATTTTTAAAAGGTAATTTTGAAAAATTAATGCAAAATTGGCAACTTTGCTCGCAGCGGGGGGGTTGAAACTGGATGATCATTATAGTCCTTTTCAACCCATGCCCGTCTATGAACTACATTCTATTGAAATAGTCTGGTTTTTTTTTTTTTTCCCCCTAAATGTACAGATATATATTTTTAAAAAGAATCAAAGGTTATTTCCAGTTAGCTTTAATGTGCTAGGATAAAAATAGACCTTGAGAAATGACAGCCTTTGTATATCTCTAAATTCTTTTCATATGTTGGCAAGGATTTTGGTCAGATCTGTCCCTTAAGTAAAGCAGGGGCAAGGTTGGAATTGAGGATGGAAATGCCATTGGGTTCCTTCAACGTTGTCACTTTAAATTTACTGTGAAAGTGAATTTTCTGAACAAAGAGTTCTAGTTTAACTAATGTGTTAGTGTAATACAACGTTTATCCTAGGTTAATCAGGACTTATGAAGGTTATAGTTGTAATCTAGAGGTACCTGCAAAAAAGAATCCAACAAAATTACTTTCCAAATTGAAAATTGTGTTTTTTCAAATGCTTGCATTTTCCAGTCAGTTTGTTCTTTTGTGTCAAGGTGAAAGTTACCTTTTTCTTAAGTGCACTGTATATTCCAAGATACTTTTGGAACTAAAGTAGTACTAGTAGAATGACTTAGGTGTAAATATTCAAATCTGTATTTATGATCAAGCTACATAATTTACAGAGATAAATCAGTATTCGTGATCTTTTCAGGAAAAGATTGAAAACAAAGACTTCACAGGTAACAGGAAATGGTGGAAAGAGGTGTTTCTTATCACATAGTTTTGTACCTATGTGGCAAATTGGTTATATCTTGTATTCAGTGATATTCCAAAGCAATTCTTAAACTAATTTGTTTTTACAAAGTGAGAAAGTTTATTTTCTCTAATGTAAACATAAATTGCCATCCATTCCAGTGGATTTTTGGTATAACTCCGGGATTGCCCTTGCTCCTTTAGAGTTGTGTAGGGTTGTTATTATTATTATTATTATTATTATTATTATTACTACTACTACTATTACTATCATTATTATTGTAACTGGGAATGTGCAGTATGTAGAAGTTAAAATGCTGCATTATTCTCATCTATTCCACAGTATTTTAATAGGAATTCAAGCAACTATTTTTTTTAAAGAGTATCTCTGGAAATGAAGGTTTTATGTAACGTTAAGGCAGAGTGTAGGCAACTGATACATCTGCTGTGTCTGGTTTGTGTTGGCCAGGAAATGAGAAGTACTAAACTTAATTCACTTGGACAAATTCTGTTCTAACACCATCTTTTCCTAAATTGCTAGTTTTCCTAGCATTCACTTCAATATAGGTAAACCTACTTGCGTAGTGCTTAATATCCATTGTTGTTCATCAGTATGTAGCACTACGCAAGTCGGTTTACTGCTAGGTACTGTTTTCAATTAGAATTTATTAGAATAGGTGATTAGAGGCATGGCAGATAGAAGGGGAGGCAGTAAGCTGTTAGCAACGTTGAAACTCAGCTACAGATTAGATCTTAATTATAAGTATTTTGCTTGACTGGTCTGCTCAAGTAGGTTAGTTTGAATTTGAAATCCTCATAACCTTACGTTATAGATTTGACTTTTAGATCTAAAACAATAAGCAACAGAAAAATCTCAAACCTCAGAAATTACCACATTAGTCATGGTTACTTATTGCAGTAGAACCAGTAAGCTAGATTTTTCTTCATGTTACATGAAGTTATCCACCAAGACTGTTACAAGCAGAGCTCTTCATGCTCTAGGCTTTGTTGTTGGTTCAACCAAGCAATTTATGAGACTTTGTAAATATGACTTGCTAGATTTGTCTTTTGTAGTTTAAATTTCACGTTTTGGTTCCCAGGGATACTCATTTAAGCATAAAATATGGTGAGAAATTGACGTACAAGTTTAACTTCAGGGAGTTAACCGTAAAAAGAAAAGTATTTTCTTATTAGCAGAACACTGATAGTATTACATTAGAACATCCTGCTTGGTAACTTAATGAAGCTCACTAATACATTTTAATCTTCAGAAAGTTAATCTCAAATAGATTTTCTTTTTAACCATACCACAACTTTAACATTAATTGACATCTTATGTTGCTTTCTTTAAAGAAAAAGAAATAATCTCATAGAAATGTACAGTTTAAAACATAAATGAAGTTCCAGTAATCAGTGTTTCTCTTGGTATACTTTGACTTGATAAATTGTAATAGTTAAAATGTAGGAGAAGTTTCACTTAAGCTTAAAAACAACCCCCAGAACCTTAATTATAATTTTAAATAATTTTAATCTAATCTGGCGTAGCGTTCTATATTAAATTGATCATTGCCTTTTCTGCTGTGCGATATTACACTCTTCATCTTTCTCATTCATTTTGCATGCATCTGCTCACTTCTGTACAGCCACTGTAGAGGCAATTGAGGCTGAAAAAGGTATGATCAGAGTCTTTGCCATTGGCAGAGATCTGTGGTGTCTGGGAGGGAATTCAAAAGTACTGTGTGGGTGTGTTTTACTTTCAACTTGCACAAGCAGAGATGAATCAACTGTATTGATTCATCCCTTTTACATGTAACATTCATTTCTGGCTCCAGGATGATGATTATCTTTAATATTTTAGGGATGTTCTTGGGGTTTTTTTGGTCTTTTTTGTTTATTTTTACAAAATATGCAGTAGGTTTTTGTATAACAGCATGTTGTGATACGTGGTGTTGTCTTGAAGTCCTTATGATGATAGTGTTTAGTGGTTTTTTTTCTGCATTCAACTGCAAGATTTTGTTTGGGGGGGCTGGTTACGTGTGGAAGGAGGGTTATTTATGCATGCTTTTCTCATAAAATCTATTTTTAATGGCTTTGAACATATATATATTTTTTAAATTTCCGTAACGCATCTGATAATGCAGGACATACAAATGTAATGTGTTTTTTTTCCAATGGATTTTATACATAATTTGATGACCAAATTTATTTCTTGTATATATGCCATCCTGCCAGTACAAGGCGTATTAAACTCCATGGATTATTGGTGCTTCTGTGCTAAATAAGCTGTTATCTGTGCACCCTTTTTAGCTGTGTTGAGTAAAATGCCATCCAGTTATTTGGTATTCAAGTACTCAACTTCAGACTGTTGAAGTTTTATTCAAAGATGCTTTAGTTTCCTCTTGCTCAATATTCAATGAAGTGAATGACAAACAGCATAGCAATTGGGAGAGCTGCCTTTGTGGCCTTTGTGTGCTTTCAGATTTGGTTGTGAAGCACTAATTAATAACTTTATCATTTGTTTTTTAATTAAGGAAGTCAGATCTCCAAAACTATAAACAAGGGCCGTATTCTGTTCTCTCACACACATGTAAGATGTTCCGTTGTTGTGAGTGAAAGCTGTGCTCATGTCTCCAAAGAATTATTCCATCCCAAAGAACTCAGTCTTACCATGTGGTTAACTGTTTTCAGGTCTGAAGTAAACTACAGACCTCGTTCACTAAAATAATCAGTAGAAAAATAGTACTTGTTTTCTATATGCATCTTAAATACGTATGTATTTAGATGGCACCATTGTTAAACACAGTGCTAACCCAGTGACTGTGGTTGTGTCCATTTCCATCATCCATGTGATTAGCACAGAATGTGACCCATATCCTGCAGTTTTGCCTGCATGAAAACCGCAGGATCAGGCCATCAATGTGTATGCAGGATGTAAACCTCTGATTACTTTTGTGACCCTTTGCTTCTTTGCCTCCGCTGCACTCGCTGTGCTGCTTGCATCTCACTGGCATTCCCCTGAGACATAGGGATGTTAAGCTGAGCTTGGCAGCGGGAGCAAAGGGTGTTCAGAGCCGGCCACCCCAGAGACATGCAGAAGCAATCAAGTGGGCTTAAGCACCTTGATTCCTCCTTGCTGAATATTTGCCATACTCTGTGCCTTTTGTTATAAACTCAGGTCACGAGAGCCATTGAGTGTATCAGGAGAGCAACTTAGAGCAGCTTTTACTAGTACAGATACAGAGCCATGCATTTACGTGGCTGATTTCCTACCTGTGTTTAAGCATCATTTATTAGAAAAAGTATATGCTTTCGACTTCTTTTTCCATTACTGACATATCAAATTTGCATTTTGTTAAGCAATACGAGGATTCTCTCCGCAACATAAAATCTGCAGTTTTGAAGAAGCAAAAGGTTTGGATAGGATCAATGAGAGAATGCCACCAAGAAAAGATGCTCTTCAACAAGATGGTATTAATACTATAAACACAACAAATGCCAATGGAAACAATGGAACTGGCAACAACAATGCACAGTGACCACGTCAACTTCTGGTTTACTCACTTATGTCTTGCCTGAGAATTCCTAGATTACTGCTTTTTGATGTGACAACAGACGAAATAGCCAGGGGGGTCAGCGAGGTGACTACTTATCAGGAGGTGGAGCACCATCTGCCTGACCCTGCTGAAGAACAGCATCGTGCTTTGAGACAACAGCCCCTCTCTTCACGTGGTGACCGACCTCCTGGGAGCATCCTTTGTGTATTCAGGCTGCTGCGTCTGCAGAAGAGCTGGGAGGAAGGCAGCGGGCTGTTATCACTAAAGCACCCCTAGACTAGCGTCTTATGCTTGTTGTTGTCAACACTTTACGTTTACAAATGGGATTTTTCTTTCAGTAGAGGTAGCTTGTTTGTTTGTTTGTTTGTTTTTTAAATCAGACTTTCAGATACGACCCTAAGAGCTAACTATTTATTAATGGACATCGGTTTCATGAATTGTCTTTAAAACAATAGATTAGAATGGTCTTAAAATTTCTGAGGCTGCAAAAAAAAAAACTGTATTTTAAATAGAAAAAAATGCCAAAAAAAATCTCAGTTGGTCATTCTGTAAAAAGCTGACCTCAGGTTTACTCCTTAGATGTTGCTGATTCTATATTGTATTCACTGTATTTTTTAGTTACAGCTTATTGGAAGATTTCTATGTAGGAATGTTTATTACTTGAACACAGATTTTAAAAAATATTTAATTTAGAAACATTTTTGCCCAGCTTTTTCAAGACTCTCCCCCACCTTGAACTTTAAAAAAAAGAAAAAAAAAAATTATATATACTAATTTTAAAAGTAAGAAAAATATGGGAGTGTTAATTTTAAGGTACTTTTAATTGAACTTTGTACATTGTTTAAGTAAATTTTGATTCATATCAAGTCTGTAAAGCTTGGCATTGTATTTTGTGTATGCATGTTTTCATTTTGCAAATACTTAATATATAGACCTATGCTGTACATCTATAGGTTACGTAGATGTTATGGGTACTTTTAGTTTATCGTGAGTACTGCGGTTGCATAAGTAGCTAGTAATCACTGGGCTGAATAGCTGCAAGCTTGTCATTTATTTTTTAAGCTGTAAAGGAAACTGAAACTGTATCGGACATAGGTTTTGTTCTAGGCGAAGCAGCGCGTAATCAATTGCTCTGTTCAACTGCTAAGGCATTAGTGAAAGTGTAAACTTGAGACTGCATGTATTTTGATATCTACAGGACTGCTTGGTTAAAATAAAAATTGAAGCCCTGTGCTAATTTGTTCACAAATAATGGACTGTACTGATTGCCACTGTACTTTGTTAATATTTTGACATTTGCTACGTGTCCTTCTCATCCCCTGGAACACAACTTGAAACTTATGTCACTAGAGTTCATCTCCTTTTTTTGTTTGCCATGAAGTACGATCTGTACATACCCCGTCTGAGTTGGAATTTTATGCATGTTCTGAACTATTCAAGTATTTTATAAACAGTAGCACACAATAAATTTTGTGCATGGGCTGCGGCTCCTATCCCTGTGTATTGGTTTTATTTGGCATACTGGGGTCTCATCTGACCCTGAAAATTGGTTAGAAATGCTCTTCCAAATCTAAGCTATTGAAGGAATAGCCAACGAGGTGAGATTTAGCTTGCGGAGAAATCATTTAACGTAAATACTATTCTGTTTCATTTTTTTTAATCGTTATTTCTCATGTATTGGATATCTGAGCATCTTCTGTCTGCCAGTCTCCATTGCTGGGTAGTGCAGCCATGAGGACGGCCATGTCCCACATGTGTCACTTTGAGCTGAGGGCTATGGTGCTGGTGGAGCCTTGGGTGCACTGGGGGTGGGATGGGGCTGTTTCGACAGTCGAGGCAGATACCTGATTTAGGGCTTTTCGTGTGTTCTCTGTAAGTAGGACAAGCTGCTGAGCGAGATGAGAACACAACTGATGTGACACTAATGGAGTTTTAATGTTTGCTTTTACTTTATTGCAGATGCGTTGTAACTGGAAACTGTTCTCAAAGTCTGTGCGCAGAAGTTCAAGTTAACAAATGGTAAGTTGGTTTTTTTCTGAAACCCACAGCCGTGAGCTGTGCAGTCTGTGTGCAGTGTGTCAGAGCAGAACAGCCACCTGGTGGTGCAGTACAGCCCAGGTTTTACATAGTGAGCATTGTGATGGGACCTTCCTCCTAAGCACCAACAGCATTTCCCAAGGCCGCATATTCATGGTTTGATACTGCAGTCTTCATTCTCAGTGTTCTGGCTAGCTCAAATTGTATGCGCAGAGAAAATACGAATCTTTGTGAGAGAAGGCCTTGCTGTGTGACAGAGAACTGGCTCTCATCTGGCAGGCATTGCTGTGCAACAGCTCTGCTCACCTCCCTGAGAATCCCCTTCCAGCTGTTGTCAATAGCAGTGTTTGCCAGATATGAGGGTAGAGGTGCAGTAAATGTTATTGTCAAGTTATTGTCAAGCTGTTTGTCATACAGTGTACATTCTGTCAGCCTTTAAGCAAGTAATCAGGTAAAAGAATTGTGCCTGTGAGCTTTTTCTGTTTAGAAAGTAATCCCTCCTTGTTTGCTGCTGTTTCTGAAAGGTCTGGAGCTGTCTCTAATTCTTGCATTGTTGAAGAGGAAAAAAAGGTATCCTGCCTCTCAGAAAACTGTAAGTTGTTTCGCTTTGTTTTCCGCTTCCAGGATTTTAAGTGGGAGGAAGGTTCTGCATATCGTTAGCGTTAGTCTGTTCTCAGTGGGGAGGGGGAAATGCTTGGCAATAGCTCTGCCAGCCCACGGATGCAACAGCAAAGCAAAGAGCTGTGGTTTCTGCAGTGCTGCTGTCTGCAGGGAGAAGGGTTGGGAGGTGGTGGGGGTGGGGAGGTGTTCTGTCTGTTCTGAGAAATGTGAATGCATTTTGGCGAATCTGAAAAGCAGGCCTGAAAGTACAGAACGTGTTTGAGGATGGTTTTTTGGCCTCCTGTTCAATAGAGCTTTGTGCTGCTGAGATACTTGCTGCCACCTGGTGAGCTGAGCCAGGAAGGCAGCCCAGTTCGCATTGTCTGCTCACATTTAGTTCAGTGGCAGACATAATGCTGAATGTTTAATAGAAGTGAAAATACTTGAGGGATTTTTGCATGGTGGACTTTTTTATCTGTTACTGTTTTACAAATACTTTTATGTACATGTGTACAATGAAAGATTTGCCATATAAGAATGGATTCTACCAGCTGCTACTGGTTTTGTTAGAGGGGTAAGAAAAAAAGAGCTTTGCTTTTTGTGTGTGAGGCCTATATATGATATTCATTAGTTAAAGCATTGCTTAGAAATGTTAGGAAACTCATTGTTAGCTGCTGGACTTCATGCTTCCATTAAATTTACGGCTGGGGACAGATTCAGCGTGGTTTTCTATAAAAACAAATTCACTACTCAAAGCTGGTTTTCTGTTTTCCTTAATCCTCTGAAACCATTGCTGCATCATTTGTATTGTGTGTGTCGCTGTCACTTTCAACTTGGATTAACGCATGTTCTGTAGTGTTAGTGTTTGCTTACAGCAAATTACTGAACAATGAAAGAACAATATAACCCACTTTTTTACAAGGCAGTACTTCAAAATTAGATTTGAAATTGCTTCTCCTTTCTATTGCTGCCTTAAGCACAATGCTAACTACCTCCTAATCATAACTAATTTAAGAACTTACATAGAGAAGGCATAGTCATCTTCTGCCAAGGTGCTTAAACTGTACAGTGTGACTTAAACTGAGCACTTGCTGCTTTTTTCAGCGTTAGGAGGGGAAGACAGAAAATAATTCTTATTAGAGAACCTTTTTTTTTTGTTATCTGCAGTTAGCTCTGTAGTTAAGTTTAGAGATTTCAAGGAAGTAATTATGCAGGAGTTTGTAAGAGGGGAGGTGGTTTTGTCTGGGTAAAACAAACAAACAAACCTAAGGCTTAGGGCTAGTAGACAAGATATATCTTTTATTATACAATAAAGAGTAATAGGTGCTGTAAATTAAGGCAAGTGTAAGTGCAAAAAGCTTAATGAATCACCAAGAAGGCGTGTTTGATTATATGTTATTCTTTTACGCACAAGAGTAGTCAGTGTCTGCATGAAGCATGTTACATGTCCTTCGGTTTGTTTTAAAAAAGAAAACAAACAGCCAGGTAACTGTCTTCTATTGACCAACAATTGCCAGTAGCAAACGCCTGTAATCGCCGCTTGTATCACTTGCTATCATTGTAGCCAGAGTCTTCTGATACAGTTCTGTGAACTTCTGTTTAATTTGCACCAGATCAATCTGTGCAAAGAAGATAAAAGAATGTGTGAGACTTAAATACAAAGTATAATTTTAACTCCTAGATATAACTGTGCATCTCCTTCCTCACGCTGAACACAAGTCAAGGGTACAGTGTGCAACTGATCAGTTCTGTAATTTGTACAAGCCAACTGGTCCCTCTACAGCTGCTCCCAAAGCAGAGGCTGGCTTGTTCCTTGCTTTGGTAGCATGATAGTATCCTAACTTCATAGAGTTGAAGTTGAGATGCTTTTCTGCTACATGGGCAAACAACCACAGTGAGGAAGGAAGACAAGCAGCATTGCTATTTAGCCAGAGACTTAAATTGTTCTATGAAACCTGACTTCAAAACTTTGTTCATTTAAATCTGAAATGGATAGAAGCTTTACTGCAATGCATGATTGCTACAGCTGTGAAAGAAGGACTGCATAAAAAGGTGGTTAGAGAAGATAGACCTCACAAGGAGTGGAAAGCTACAGAGGAGAAGGTTTCTTACCTCACTGCGAGTGACTACAATTCTGATGAGGGTAGAATCATCTGTGCCAGCTCCTTTCATAGAATGATAAAGCCTTTCTGCAAAAAAGGCTGGGCGATCAAAGGCGCATTGCACTGCAATAAGGTATATTCTTAGGATTAGTTCCAGTATTGTACAGTGATACTGGCAGGATCAGTTCAGGATTTATGTTGTAGTCAGCTGCAGGTAGCTGTCAATACAGATTCTGTTATTCCGGATTACAGTAACTGTTTTGCTAAAGAGGGTTTATTTTGAAGCTGAACAAATGAGTTCTTACTTCACAAGAAAAGTTGTAGATATTACCAGTTAATTTTTCTGAAAGTGCTTTTTACAGGTGACTGAAACCTTAATTCTCAAACAGGTTGTTTCCAGTTCTTTTCCTTACATAGCTGGTACCAGGATATGAGCACTTTTAGTGGTGTTCCATTGCTAGGCCCCCAGTAACAAAAGTACAAAAGTAAATAGTTTTCATTCACAAATAGCTACAGAATCTGCTAAATCTGTTAGATTTTTTTTTACTGTTTTTTTCTTCTATGTGATCCTCAGGGATCATTTTTTCCTGCAGAACTTCAGTAGAATATAGTCTGGGAAGAACTTATTTAGTATGATAGCTTTTAATCACTATGGCTGCAGAAATGCTGTCAGTTTGGTAAACAGTGGTAGAGCTGGTGTGCAGGTACTGGTTTCACTTCAGTAACTCATACTGATCCTGTCAGAAGTCATAACAAATTTGAAATGCTTTTCTATAAGTTGGCAGGGGTTAGTGAAATCAGAACAGGTCTTCTCTTCTGGTAATGCTTTCCTCAGAAATACTGAGCTTTTGAGGGGTAGGTGGTGGCAGAGGATTGTAGAGTGAACAACGCCTAGAAGTAGCTTCATGGTGGGTCTGAGATCACACGTGGGGTGGTTCAGCTATCTCTGCCTCTGTTAGTGGCACTGGCTTCATTTTGCAGGGCTCTGAAACACAGAACCACCAGTGCTAAGCAGTGTCCCTTGCTTCTGTGTAGTCACATGTCTTTCTAGACAAGTAGTTTCTGTGTAACCTTCTCTGGCTTCAAACCCCCAGCTAGATGTCTGTTTCCTCCAAGTGCAAAGTGAGTAATCTGAATAATTGAAGTTACTTTTGTAGTAATAGAGTCTCAGATTGTATATTCATTTGCCATATGGCCAGTGCTGAATTGGATTCTTCCTCAATTACTTTTAGTAAATTACTTTTAGAAAATTAAATTCTTAGGGGATAAGAGTAAGGAAGAAGGTATCACTTACAAATAGCCTTCAAGCCACGTTCCACATTTCCAGAAAATTCTCGATCAATGCTGCTTGCTAAGTCACGATTAGCAATCTACAAATAAATGAGATTAACTTGTGGATCACGAAATGCAGCAACATTTGGAACCTTAGTTCAAAATATGCTGACCAAACTCATTTGAAGTCAGTGAAGAATTCCTACCCTGGAATACGCCTCAGCTGTTGCTCTCAACTGGGGAAAACTTCTGCTTGCCAGCACCATATTAAAGCAAGATTCATCCGTCCCGAGTTTTCCTTCACCTGCTTGGTAAAGACGCTGAGCATCTTCTTGAGCTTTTTGATAATCCACGGTTTGATTCTCATCCCGGTTACCCTAAAAGCAAGGTTAGCAGAAGTCAAATGAAGTAGCACAGAGAAGCTGTGCTTTCACTGCTTGGAGTACAGACCCCAAGCGTGTATCTCCGAAGCTTGAAGTAGGATGAGTGATACCAGTGAGAAATACATTACATTGCCTTAAAACTATTATTTGGATTAATATTTCTTAGAAAAAATACAATTGTGGCCCAAAACTTTGTCAGTAGGGTTTGGTTTAAGCTGTGGATATACTGTGTGTGTATTTGTATATATATACGTACACACTCATATGTTGCTTCACCTATAAATACATTTTCATGTGGTCTTTTTCAGGAACTGCACTCAATTCTCTATTTTATTTAATAATGAAAGCTTTCTCTTGATTTGTTTCTAGGCTTCAAGTTGCAATGAATCTTCCTAAATGAACTAATGAATTACCTTTCTGAATATGCACACCTGAAATATCTCAGGTCTTCTATTATATTTAGAATTGCTGATTTCAACTATGAATGTATCCAGAAAATACTTACTATAGTTCTAATATGTCAAGTAGGGCTTATGTGACATTTTATGCGCTTTGGGATTTGCATTCTTGCTGCACAGTGCATGAATGGATGCTGCTAAATGTATTGGCTGAGTAGGCTAAATACACACTCTTAAATACTATTGTGTCTGTAGCTGTTAATATAATATTTAAATTATGTGGTTGTCAGTTACTGTACTGGATTTATCAAAATAAAAATTAGCATGAGCTTCAAGCTTTGCTTTCTTGTGGACTTTGATTTTGTAACTCAAATGCCTGGTGAATAGCTGAACTGTCATAAAGGTAGAAGCAAACAGAGTAGAGTCATAGAAATTCAAGGCAGGTGTATCAGAAAAATGCGGGAAGTTGCACGTGCTGTGTTTTTCTTTCTAAACATGGATAACAGCAAGTTACTGTTCTTCAATACAAAAAGAGCCCCAGTAAATAACATGAGATAAGCAGCCTTCAGTGTTCACAGGAGTGTAGTGGTAGCACACGTGTACTGCTGGTTATCTGAAGGGAGGGTTACAATGTGATTTGGAAGGTAATGTTTTGTTTGAGGGAACTCTCACAGATATTTTACGTGCTATAAAGGTCATCCTAACAAAATTACCCAAATAATGTTACGCAAAAAAAAAAGAAGAAAAGCACCTGGCTTTAACAGCAGCGTGGAGCACTGATTGTAGCATGTGCTATTTGATTGCATCTGCTCAAAGTATTTACACAGATCTTCTGTGGGGAATACAGAGTGCTCGATTAAGTCGCTCAATCTGTCATATAGATAAGAAGGAATTCTTCCTTGAGGAGGAGTTGAGGTGTTTTATCTTGTTAGAAAGGAAATTAGTCTAGGGCTGGCTTCTGTCTCTGGCTAAGCAGGCACAGGCAATTCATTTATGGAACAATTATGGATATATGCAAGGAGTGCACGTGCATGTCTTAAAAATAAAAATTGTCTCACTTGGCACATAGATACAAGTAACCGTTCAAAGTGTCCAGAAGTGTCTGCTCTGATGTCTTGTTCGATGTCCCTTCCAAATTCTGATTTATAGCAGTTCACTATTTCTCGTATTTCCTGGTTTGTCCTTGTGCAAAGGATCTCTATCAGCACTCTCTCCTGCGTGCCTGCTCCCTGTAGGCAAAGCAAAAGAAGGCGTAACTACAAAGCACTACCTACTTCATTTTGTTCGACTGTAAAAATAAGCAATCAGCTGTTATTTTAAAAGAGAACACGATTCCTATTGTAAGAACAATATTCTAGTTGGTGTGAAAGCACCAAGTTCACCAAATGCTGAACATGGAATGAAGATTTCTGAAATGCTCAGTTCTGCACTGGCTTAAAATAATACCCTGTCTACTATGGCAATGTCAGCCATAGGTAACAGAGTGTAGGTTTAAGAAGAAAATGAAAAAATGATTTGGCAACCTTATTCTGGGAATATATTGGAGGAAGGCAGAGCCTTCTGATAGCCCTTAAAGTCAGATATATGCATGTAAAGACTGTGAAGGTGTGTTTCTTATTCCAAAGGTGACTGGTTCCTCTGCATGGAGGACCAGCAGAAACTTTTCATAGCTGGTTTCCTCTCCTCAGGATAGAATTTAGCTGGGGGTTCTGAGTACAGACACATCCGCTGGCATGACCATCACTATTCGAGCAAGGATTACGTAGGCTTAAATCTATATGAACCTTCTAAGTATTACTGTAACATGGTTAATTTTTTTAAATGGTTGTGTGGGTCTTGCCCCCACTAAAGCTAGATCTTCATTTGTGCTCCATATTCTTTAGAGATCTGCATTGCTATCTGAGTTAAGTGACTTGTTTCCAGTAGTCAGCCACCTGCTAGCTGCTGCCACTCGAGCAAGGAATTCAGGTAAGTTGGACATACCAGTTTACCTGAGTTAGAAGGTTAAATCAGCTTGCTCACCTAACCCCTAATGTGGATTTAACACCCAAAGAGATACTTGCATCCCCTGACCTTAAGAAAATACTCCTTCATTTTTGTCCTGTTAAAAAAAAATTAGGTTATCTGAAACTATCAGTTAGTAGCTATGGCTTGTTTCCAGCAGGGAGAGGTATGCAACTTCAGTGTAAACAGTGCTTATTGGTTAAAAGAACTCTGGCTCTCATTAGGTTCTAGCAAAAAGAATGACCAAGAGAGGGGCAGAGAATAAAATTCAATCGTGCAGCATTCATTCCCTGCTGGACAGCTGCTGCAAACTGACCAATCCTGCAGTACTGGCACATGCAGCAGAGAAGAATTCTAACCTCAACAGTCCCTAAATTTGTTTTCCACAGGATTTTTCAACAGTGCAGAGGTCAGGTATTTTGTTTTCTTGAATGAGCATTTTTAGATGGTTTTGAATTATTTTGTTCACAGGAGAACCATACCTTCATTGCATGACGTAAACTCCAGGCATCATAGTAAGTTCTAGGCATGAAGAGTGCCAGGATCAGTTCTTCCACATTTCCACTTAATTCAGACTTCAGGTCTTTAATTAAATCCTGTCCAATTAGAAACACAAAAAGGGCATTGTTATATAATATGGGAGCTAGTAATTACTTTAACACATTGTTCAAGTGGCACAAATTTTCACACACACCCCCAAATTAGAGCAGCTGATGAGCTTCTTCTGCTTTTGTTTGCTATAGTACATTACATTGTTATCCATCTCCTGAGAATCCCTAATATCCACCAAGAGCACGGCCATCGCTCCCCTCTTTGAGAACACTGGTAAAACAGATAGCAGTACACATCCGTAACTCTGTAGTGACTGGAGTGCTCACTGAGGAAGGAGTGCTGAGTTCAGTTCCTTCCTGCATCAAGTATTTCCAACCCTACAACTCCAGTTACTTGCAGAATTACTTATCGTATTTTAGATACGAACCAACAAGTTCAGCCCAGTGGGGAAAGAGCTGATTTTTTCAGGGGAGATTCAAGTTGGATATTGTAAAAAATTTCTTCTCTGAAGGAGCGGCAGTGCACAGGAATGGACTGCCCAGGGAGGTGGTGGAGTCGCTGTCCCTGCAGGAGATGTGGGGATGTGGCACTGAGGGATGTGATCAGTGGGCACAGTGGTGACGTGTTGACGGTTGGACTTGATTTTCAAGGTCTTTTCTAACCTTTAAGGATTCTGTGATTCTTTCAGAGCAGTGCTGCTAAGCAGATAAAAATATAAGATTTCACCACAGCAAAAAGCACAGAAAAGAAATGATTTGAAAGCAGGTGTCTGCAAGACAGACTCCTTTGGAAAAGAACCTTCCATTATGTATCATAAAGGGGGCAACAGGAGTAGACGTGTCTGCAATTTTCAGGTGAGCAGAGTTACAGCAATAATGGCATGGAGCTGAGTTACTCCAGCGCGCTGTGCCTTAGCAGTGATCCTCAGCCAATTTATCAGTTGGCTTTTTAGTGGAAAAAAAAAAGTTATTTCAGCACTAATATTTGTGCACAAAACCTCAGGAACATCATACAATAAGACAGTTTAATCTCAATTAATTTCTGTCTTCTAAGTACTGTCAACTCAGAAAAGTTTCTGCTTTGCTGAGGGACCTTGCCAGACTGCCGTATGCCTTCACTTCTACCAGGTATCAGAACACTTGAATACCAGGTGTCTACATGGTATGCAGTGAAAAATATAACCCAAAGAGGTGCATTTAATAAATGCCCCAAACCACTCTCCAGGGCTAAAATGCAATTAGGCAGTTACACATCAGCTGAAATGATGGGTTTTGTTTACTGAACATACCTTGCCATACATCGTCTTGAAAGCTGCCTTGATTTTTTGCCTTTGGTCATTGGAGCGGTTAGATACAACATCAATGATAGCCTTCTCATCAGTCCCTTGGAAACAGAACAGCAATGGGAGAACTTGTAATAATCCATCTAAGGCAGTGCATTTTTTAATCTCACATTTTTGCGTAGTTATATAATAAGAGCATGAATATCATTTAAGTCTGTTTACCAAATTTTCTTTGTAACTTAGAGTCTACTAAATCTCTTTTGGTGTGACTTCTGATAAGCTTTTGGAAAAATGAATACCTTTATGGTTAGATACAAACTGAAGCACCAAATGGCATTAACACATTACAAATGTAATGCCTGTTGCTTACTTACCAAACCCCTTCATAGCTTTGCGCAGAATTTCTGCATCCCTTCCAGCATCAAAGTTTGGAGCAGCTTGAATTGTGCCCTGAGTATACTGAGCCATTGCTGCAGGCTGAAAACAAAAGTGATGTATAACTAGCTATCCTGCACAATACTAATTCAACTTTAAGTAACTGCTTAGCAGTGAGTACTTCAGAGGGAGGAGTCACAGAATGGTTTGTTCCACTTGTTCTGCTGGCTCACCGTTTTTCTCTGACACAAAATCAGGGTGACAGTTGTGTTGAACAGCTTTGGTTGACAACCACTGCCAGAGCAATGCCTTTATGCAGGCCTGCATGTTGAGCATACAGAGATACTGACTGATGGTTTTGTTTGGGGTGTATTCTGAGTGTGGCCAGGAACTCTGCAATGACTTCATTGCTGCTTTTACACCAAAGGAAAGTTTGTCAGTGTTAAACAGTTGATAATGTAGGACCAATTCATACCCTTTCATATCAAACTCATTGAGAAACGCTGTATTAAAATGCCTGTAGGCAAATACATGACAGCTTAAATTTTACTTTCAATTAATTATTCAAATTATAGAGTAAATCGGAATCCTATTGAAAGCAATGTCAACAAATCAATTACTTTTCTGCATGGCAAGATGCATACTCTGTTTTGGTTTTTTTTCCTTTTTTCCCTTTAGCAGAAAGCCCCTCTGAAATTCTATGATAGACAACCTGAGTGCTGCAGTGATGCAGTGACGTTCAGGGTTGTATTACCTGAGTTCCCCTTTGCCCAGAACTGCCTCTAATAGCAGTTCTTCCTTGCACTGGGGACAAAATGAGGGACTGTTATTAAACAACCTTTATTGATAATATCAGAATACATTTTCAGCCATCAGTGCCTGTTTGTCTGTGACGCATCCCCAGCTCGTATTCAGGCCTCCTCCCTAATATTTGCCATACACCCAATCTCCCACTAACAGCAAGGTGAAAAAAATAGGGAAGCAACATTAAGATCTTATTATATTAAGATAAAAAAAGCACACAGCACATACCGGACCAGGCGTCGGTGATGGTGCTTGTCCACCAGGATAGCCTACTGAAAATGAATGAAATAACAAGATAAACAGATTAATTATGTTTCTTCTTATTATATAAACGCTAATTAAGCTGAAAGTAAAACCATTTATAGACATGGTAAGTTACAGGTCTACCACAGCAATAGCCTATGTGCTAAGTAACAATACCTATAACTGAAGCTCTTGCCATTGAGAACAGTGGGAAGAAGCAATCACGAAGCATTCTGGTAGATACTTTAGTGAGGCACTAATAAAAATGCTAAATTTACTGGTGCTGTGAGAGCTGGAAGAATCTCTCCTTATTAAATATGGCTGCCGTTGATGAAAGCCAAGATGATCCCTGCAAATGAGGAATGCACGTCCCGTGCTCTCTGGCAGAGTCATTTTATTTATGTTAAAATGTCTACAACATATTAACAACAAATGCTGAGAATTCACTGGTGCAAGAACTGAAGAAATCTCATTTCATGTTCAAAATCATTGTGAATACAAAAGATGCAACCACTTTTTAAAACTGGTATTTTATTTTTATCTATAGTGCATATGCACAGTTAATGTTGTTTTAATGGCAGCTTAATTATTAAAGTCAGTGAAACAATCATTAAAAGAAAGTTTGCTGCTCTGAATTTTTTGCAGACGCAACTGACATCCCAGGACAAAAATGTTTTTGATGGTAACTGACTACTCAAAGCATGAAGAACAATGCACTGGGTTTAAGCAACGGTGTGCATTCTCCTTTCCACTCCCTCGTAATTCCTGGGATCACTGTGAACACATATCTGCTCAGGTTCCTGAAAAATATGTCCATGTCTCTGAGATGAGCAGAACTGCCAGATATCTGTTGAGTGTGGATTCCCAATTTAACATTTCTGGTCAGATAAGTGCAGTTTGAAGAAGGATAAGCACCTAACCAATTACATCATGATCGTTAAGCACTGACAGCCATCCCTTTTGAATGCAGCACATAAAGGTGATTCTCACCTGCTCTTCACTTGTCAGGAAAGGTGAAAGGACACGCACAGCATTCAGACCTCAATGGCTAACAGTAACAAAGGTAAGGGCCTATTTTTTTTTTCTTACTATCTATCTTGGGATCTCTTGGTTTAGCCTTGGATTTTTGATGTAGCATACATATGGCACGGAAGCATCCACATACCAGGAATTTGTGCTGGTCCACCTCCACCATAGCTTTGGGCAGGAGGCTGGGGATAGCCACCAAAGCCAGGGCCAGTGGGAGGCACGGCAAACCCAGGGCCTGTGGGAGTTAGGAGCAGATAACAGATTTTAGCACACAGCATTTCTGGTTTCTGGCACAACATGAGCCACGGCATTGAGCTGCACAAGAGATTGTTTCTTTTCTCTCTATCTGTGCAGTGGCTCACAACCCAAAGCCATCAAAACTCTGCTATTAGCATGCAGGTACTTATTGGTAGCTAGCAATCTGGCTGTCTAGACCCTGCTGCCTAAATTGATCACTGAACAATCGCTTGCTTTTCTTTACTACTTTCCCGAGCACAAAGACTTGGTTACAACAGAAATAACTCCCAAGGGCTGGATCTTACCTCCGGGATAAGATGGCATTCCTCCAGCCTGGGGAGCTCCAGGGAAGCCCCCTGGGGCAGGATATCCTCCTGCCTCTGGATACCCAGCACTGGGTGGTGCTGCAGGAAAGCTCCCTCCTCCTGCTGGAGGATATCCTCCAGGAGCAGCAGGGTAGGTGTACTGCCCAGCGGGCGGATAGACAGACTCCTGTCCTGTGGGCTGAAATACAAAGAACCCACGAGATGTCTGTACTCTATTACAGAGTGAAAACTCAAGCTACTAAAATGTCCATATATGTGTAATAACGTGATTAGGTTTAGCTCTTAGGAGCAGCAGCAGCATTCCCTAAACCTAGACACGGGCCTTCTGGCTGGGTCCTCTGATGCATCTCCCTAGCAGTAAAATCTAGCTCAAAGGTTTTCCTCAGCTTTGGCTGTCCCAAGATCCCCACCACCACGCCATTGTGCCCAGGAAGATCACCTTCCCCAGCAGTGCAGTCTAACCTTGTTCAGCCAGACTCAACAAAAAGATTTTAATAGGATTTAGATTTACAAACCCAAGGTTAGGATCCCCTAGGCCTGCTAGGATGACTATCAATATTACAGAAAATAATTTCACATTGACTTTTTGCACTATTGCAGACTAGAAAACCCAGCATGGCTACTCTGGCATCTACATGGTCTTTTAAATTTGTGAACCGAAGCTGCTAGATTTTAGATGCCGGCTTAAAAAATAATCATAGTATCATTTGAGTTAGAAGGGACCTTAGATGTCATGTAGTCCAACTCCCTTGCAATGAACAGAGACAATTGTGAGGGTTCAGCAGAACGTTGAATAGGGTAAAGAAATCCCAAAGTTAAGAAAGTCTGGCTTCTGACACGGTTATCTCTTTAGTCTGACTGACTTTGGTGTTTCAGAGCGAGTCTGGGTAAATTGTAAAGCAAAATAACTGAAGAATTTACTGCATATACTTTGAGTTTTTCACTATTTTATGGGACATAGGCTGAGCTCCATTTTAAGTCTAGTCAAGTACTACATAAATAGAATTGCCACAATTACGTTATGTTCGGTGCCTTACCAATTAAAGCACGAAGTTGTGTCGAGCTTTGAAAAAAAAAAACAAAACACTGCAACATCAACCATGCCTGATACATTCCAGGCCTTCCAGTTTCACTGGAGTTTTCAGTCCATTCAGTCATGAACTGAAGGTGGAATAAAGTACTGTGGCTGAAGGACTGGGGGTCAAAGTCAAGTTAAAGTGTCCAATATCCTCAGAAAAATATTTACTCAGTGTTGTGGGAAAGCTGGGTTCTTGAGCTTGGATTGCTCAGCAGCTTTACTCCTGAACGAAATGGCCAGGATGTGGGCATACAGGTGGTTTGGGAGACACTGGTTCAGACAATACCCAGTTCCTAAAGATCCTCATATTTGTTAACAATTACCAATGCTTTAAAAATAAATCAATAAATAAAGCACCATTTTGCTGAGGTAGTTAGCTATATGCATGAGAAAATAAAACAGAATGAAAATGGCTAAAAACATCAAGGTAACAACCTAAACAAGAAGCAGCCACCCACCCTCTGGAACAATGGGCAATATTATAAAATATATATCGGACTTCCTTCTTGGAGTTCATTTGAGATAAATGCAAAGTCACACTCAGAGATGGATATGTGGGTAAAAACAGCTGCTATTTACATGCATACAGTGAGAAGGGATGTTGACTCTAAATACACTGTGAATGCAACACAGGTAAAAGCCATACTTACAGGGTAGCCAGGGAAGGCAGGGTAGCCAGAAGGGGGATAACCTGGGTATGACATTCTGGAAGAAAAAAAAAAATTCCCTGTCAGTCACTACATGAGTGTGTAGCTGCCACTTGTTGGTTTAGTAACTGTGACGTTACTTGAGCAACTCAGTTACTTCATTCAGTGTTGCTAAAAGTACTCATCAGCTACAAAACCACAAACCTTTTCCTTTTTTTTTTAATTTGTTATTTTTTTACACAGAACAGCAAGCAGAATTCAGAAGAGAAGCATCATCAACTTTGTAATTACTTGCTACCTTAATTAGGTCAGATATATGTTGAAGCACAGTAAGAGTGCTGAACCTCCAAAAGTAATTCTGGAATACAGGTTACAGAGCTTGAAGTCTCAGCAGGAAGGGGCTGAGCCTGTGTCAGAACAGAGACAGAAGAGTTAGGCTCAATTCCATGCTTGTATCCTGTCAGCCTGCACCCCTTCACTCACAGGAATAGCTCCTGAGAGGAGAATAGTACTTGATCTATCCCACAGAGAACCATCTAATAGAAATGTATCTTTTGCCTGCTTTTGGCTGTTCTTATGAAATAGATGCATGCACCAAAATGATTTCAAAGATCAAATAATGGGGTTTAAACTAAGAAGTTCTAACTTCTTGAATAACACAAGCCAGAATTGATGCTAGCTGTAGCAAGTATGACAAGTAAACAGGACAGCTCAAGTGTGGGAGGACCAGGGTGGTTCAGCAGCCACACGTCTATTACTTTGACCTTTCAGTCCCTATTAAGATCCCACATTTGTCTGTCTCCAAAACATAAGAAATGACTCAGTGTTTCTTTTCCTGATGGTAATAACATGGTGCATCCTGCAGAATTAAACTGCGCCCAGTGCTGGTCAGTGCACCGTGAAAAAGATTTGCAAAGATCTGAATTTTAATCCAAAGAGCTTATTTAAGCATAAGAAGATAACACTATAGATGAAGGTTTATATTAGCACAATACAAACTTACACGTGACATACAATAAATTGAAGAAAAGGGCATAGAAAAGTTTTGCAAGTGCTTGTTTTCTGAGCCTGCAGGCCTTTCAGTCTTTAAGTGACTGTTCTGCCAAAAAATGCCTCCGTGAGGCATTCCTGTCTTGTATAACTGAAGAGGGAAAGAGGTGGAGGAGCTGCTGGGTGGGGGCCTCACGCAGAACCGACCTCCACAGCAGCTCCAGGCATGTTGTCTCTTGTGCAAGAGCTGCTGGCTGGAAAGGGAGGGGATCTGTTTCATTTTTTAAAATCCTTTAAAAATAAGTGAAGCTGCTGTTTCAAAATTCGTGAGCAGAAAGAGCAATCTTAGCCTCCCTACAAATACTTTATGCCAATGGAATTATTTCTATTTGTTATTTCAAAATACTACTGCCCTCACACTCAAACAAAACACCAAAATGAGGAAGCATCCAGGCAAGAGTTCAGCTCCCAGCTACTTCCCCAGTACCCCACATCTTACTGTACTCCCCCTGCATTACTTCATTTGTGCAGGAGATTTCTGTTTCCTGCTAATAACTATTTCAGTCCTTTTTTTAATAGAAGGACTGGGGGATTAGAAACAGAAGAAGACAGGAACTGGGAGTTACTCATTGCATGTTTATGAGGCAGTGTCCTAACTGCACAAATCAGAGAAAATGGGAAATATAAAAATGAATTGTAATACAGTTACTGACTATTCACATTCCTAGGTATTCCGTAGGCAAACAAATGGACCTGAAAGCCATCTTCTTGCTGTGTTGTACCACTAATTCCACAAATGCTGCCTTAAATGCCTCTGACTTACTGTAAAAAACATTAAAACTTAGAGCAGGGTAGTTCAAATGAGAGCCAAAGCAATCTTGTAGACAAGTACAGCTATGTGGTCTCACAGTGATAAAGCGGGAGAACTGCTTCAGGGGGCTTTCTTCGTAAGAAAGGGAGAAGAACTGTGTGAGGTGACTTGGAAATCATAACTGTAAACACTTTAATCATAAACACTGCTAATTGCCATATGTTTCCCTCAGAAGAAGCACACGGGCAATACCTGTGCAGTATCTACTACTGACAGCTATGTGCGTTGACTTTTCATTCTGGCTTTCCACACATTTCTTTCACTTCTGTTACTTAACCATGGGCTGCAGCTCCCTTCAGGAAGAAGACAACTGCCAACACTTCCTTTGGGTTTCAGTGTCACTCTTTCCACTCAATGGGAAAACAGAGTGTCAGCAAAACTGGCCATTAAAAACCTCCACTCTATTGCAGCCTTATGCTCCGTGTAATTCAATCAAAGTCACGCTGTTAAGCAGGCAGTAAGGTGAAGCCTGTAAAACGGGTAGGTGTGCACAGTATCGCATCTCCTGTGCTCACACTGCTTTTTGTAAGGCAGCAAGCAGCCGGTGGCTGCAGGTCAGCTGTTCCAACAGCTGTACAAAGTGTAATTAGTATACAAGTGGGACCCAGCAGTATTTTATCTGTACTGAAACATACCAGTGTTTAAATTGATTGATGAGATACTTAATGTAGAATGAAGTCAGTTTTTTCAGCCATGTTCCCCATTCACTGTCAAACAAATTCTGGCACAAAAGCTTTTTAGGATTCTGGTTTCCAAGCCTCCTTTGCAAGGAAGGCGGTATTTGTGATTAGCAGATCACCCACCCGTGCACACCTGTGACGTACACGGACTGTTGCAGTGCTTAACTCTTTCCTTACTGGCACCGCGTGGGTTCCATTTCTGGGACGTGGGTAACTGCTGGTGCGTTTTGGGGCCGGCACCGGGATTGGCAGCATTTCGTGTGATCACCAGCTCTAGCAAGACCCCAGTTCCTACTTCTTGTGTTTGTAACTCAGAAAAGTGACGGCGTTTTCTTGGTCAGACGTACTGTGGTGAAGGGGTCAGGTAAGGACTTCAGCCCCGGTCCCTGCAGGCGCTCCGCAGCCGGCTGCACAGTGCCGTATGGCGATACGGGCTTCTTCGACAGCAGGACCCAGAGTCCCTTCAGAACGCACCGACCGGACAGCAGCGCGTACCGAAGCAGCTCTCCTCATATCCCGTCTTACAGATACACGTATTCACAACAGCAGTACCTGATTTCGGACCGCCTGCTCCCGCTCCGAGCTCAGCCCGAGGGCCGCGGAGCGGGGCAGAGGCCGCAGCCGCCCGTACGGCCGACAGGAGGGCGGGCTCTGCCCGGTACCGATACCGGCCCTCCCTCGGCGTCCCGCAGCGGAGGGCAATGGGAGCCGCCATCCCGAGGCTTCGCGGGCCTTTCTCGTCGGAATCGCAGGTTCGGACGGTTTTTATTTGCTTCGGGGACTCGGGACGGGACCGACTCCGGCGATGTAACGCGGGGTTCGGCGCGGGCAGCATCCCGCCCTGCGGCGGCTGGAGGACCCCGCCCGCGGCCGGAGCCGCCGCCCGTCTCGGGGCGGTCACGCAGCGCCGCGGGCTCTCGCCGCAGGGCCGTGGCTCTGTTGGCCGGCCGTCCGCGCGGAGGCGGTACCGCTCTCGGTACTTGCCCTGAGACGGCGAGGAACCTGGTTCCCGCTCCCCAGCGGACCGCGCCCTCCCCCGGCGGGGCACCTGCCGGCCGCCGAGTCCCGCCGTGCCCCATCGCAGCCTCCCGCGGGGAGCGGCCGGGCCCGGGGCGGGGGACGCGCGCGCGGCGCCGGGCTGATCGCCTTTCTTCCCCCTGCCCGCCCCTAGGCGCCTCACCTGAGGGAAAAGCACGGAGCCTCCGGCCTCTCTGCAGCAGCTACACAGCAAAATGGAGGCCGTGTGGCCGGGAGGGACCCGCCCCGCCCCCAGGTCCGCCCCGGCCCGGCCCCGCTCCCCGCGGGCAGCACCTCCGCGCCCGAGAGTCGACCGGGCCGGCGGCGGCCCCGCTAACGCGGCGCCCCTTCTGCCAGCCGTCCGGCCCGCCCCGGTTCGCTGACGGCCGCGATGTTCCCGGCGCTGCCTCGGAACGGCGAGGAGCTGCGCTCAGGGACGGCAGCGCCCAGTCCCGCAGCCCTGCCTCGGGGCGCCGTCCCACACGGAGGGCACCGGGCCCGTGAAGTAGAAAGTCCGCATCGCGGCTTCCCTTTGGCATCGGTGCAATTAAATTAACCCAAACACGTGTGGATTTAGGTCAGACCTATTTTTCAGAAGTGCATGAAGCTTTAGATGGAGTCCAGGAGCTGGCAGGCGATGAGCCGTGTCATCTGGACCACCAGACCAGTGCAGTGGCCAAGTGTATCAAAGGCATCGGTTGACTTGAGAACAAGATCTAGGTCCCCAGAGGGCATGAAGGTAGGGCTGTCCTGGCTACCACACTCCTCTCCCTAGAAAGAAATATAAATTATGGCAACTAACTGCTCTGGAAAGCACACTGGGTGTTTTGTTTCTATTTTTACATCTACTGTTATGTTTATTCATACTCTATTTGGAACAGACACCAGATACACTTATTTCTTCCTTTACCCCGGAGCTAAGTGTTTGTAAGAGGTTCTAACCAGCATGATACACTTCCTGAAGGATCCATCCCTGGTATTATGCAGTGGTTAATCGCATTTATTCAAAACTTCTGCATACTTCACTATGAAATGCATGCATTAGCAGTTCAGACACCACTCAAATGCAAGCAGTATCTTCTGCTGTAACCTGCTGTGGCACTTGAATGCCAATTGCCAAGTAAAACCACTGCTCTCTGTGTCTGTAAAAGAGCAGTAAGTGCAGGCAGCAGAAAATAGATCGGTAATAATTTACTATGCTAGTCCACTTCAAATGGAAAGCATCTGAAATGTATAAAAATTCTAATAAATGACCTATCTTCAGCAATATTGGGCTTATATCTGCCTTGTTTGCCCAGAACTTGTCAGGAACAGCTTTAAGAATTTAATCCTCACAGCATTTTTCAAGAGATATTTTCAGTGTATGTCTAGTATACTTCACCTCTGTTAAGCTTATTTCTTTCAGGACAGGTACATATTAAAACTCCTGCTTCCATGGGAACCAAATACATGTATAAAACAGAATTCTTCCTCTTCCTTTTAGTGGATTGTTTGGGATTGAACTATTTAGGAAAGGAATCATCTATATTCATAATCAAATGGAAAGGAAAAAAAAACACAAGAGAAAAGTCTTAAAAAGGCATACATCTGAAGAATCCATACCAATGTTAAATGCGTTGCATGTATATTTGTTAACAAGACTATCTGGAATGACTTTTTCTAAAGAATGGAATGGAACCACTGTTGTCATCTAGCTTCAATCCCTGTATTCAAAGAATCTTCTTGGTTTGTTACTACAGCTACTAGTGCATTTAGGAAAGTGTGTTAAATCCCAGAGAGTCAAGACAACCTCCCACTGTTAGTGAATTCAAGGTCAGTGAAATAGGAGACAAACTCATGCTTCTCTTTTTGTAATATCTTTGTATCTTCTCAGACATGATACTGGACAGAATTCTGCTCCAGAGGGACTTTCTCTCACCTACCTCGTCATACTGGGTGCTGTCAGTGCAGCTAAAACTTCCTTGGGTAATTTATTATTGGTGATGTAGGACACTAAACGCATTGCTGCTTGTCTGTGCTATAGGTCCTGCTTGGCATACTGCATCACAAATGATATGAAACATTGCTTTTGATTTTGTATTTCAGTCAGTAGAGTTTAAAACTAATAACAAACAAAAAACACAACTTTCCCACAGTTTTCAGTAAGCAGCAAGACCTGGTCAGCTTTTAACCGTGGGTCAAAGTATAACAAACCAGCAGGATACTGCAGTGATCCAAGTCTGTTAGGGACTAACAATATTTGCCCTGTCACACTGCCTTGTGACTGCACTAATTGAAATGCAGATAGTCAAAGTTAGCTGTTGAGTAAACCTTCCCCAAGAACAGAGAGCAGAGCAAGCACAGTTCACTTCACAAAGAGATGTGTTTGGTTAGCTGCTCAAATGAGAGTTACTAACCCATGAGTCATGTTAGGACTCCACCCACTGTAGTGCAGTCGTGAGGGTTTCACACAAACCTCAGGACTGCCATCAGAGTCTGTAGTTCTGCTGGGTGGAACCGCACTAAAAATACACTTCATCCTTACTCAGAGTGCACAAGGAGAGCAGCAGGTTGTTCTGCTAGAGTACTTGAAAGAGCAGCGTGTCCAACAGTTTTCTTCACTGACATTTAAATCCTGATGATTAAAACCGCCCATTCCAGATTTGTTACTAATAGATGGCATGTTCACAAAATCATACACTAAAACATTACTTCCTCTTTGCAGCAGACGTAAGTGTTCTGCCAAGAAACTTAATTGACTCAGCTGACAGTGCAGACTTAGTGACCTTCATCCCAGCATTCTGAAAATAATCAGCAAATGAAATTGTAATTCTAGCAGCAAGGATTTTAAGTATCCAATTGCAAACAGCAAATGTTGTTTGTTATTTTCAGCAACACTGAAAATTTAGTCTTATTTCCATTTTCCAAGGCTTAAGCCAAACAAAAAGATGTTGCTCATGTCAAAGATGAATTTCAGGACACAGTGGATCAGGATGACACTTGGATATTCACAGAGAATGTGACAAGAACCACAGTTAAAATAGAGAAGACGCAAACTAGCATGGCCAGGGCTAAAGAACTTGAAAGCAAACACAAAAGCTTTGTTGAAAAGGGTGTTTGTAGAATTCAGCTAAGTTGGCCTGGATTAGTTCCAAATTTCTTCTTAACTGTGAATGGCACGAAAGTTGGGAACAAGCTAATGATACCTGCTGATGAAACTGAAGTGTCACCAGCACTGAGAGCAATGCAAACCAGGAGAAACAGGGAGATGATCATAACATCTAGATTTTCTAATTAAAAGCTGTTGCAATACCAGGTCATGCATTGAAATTAACAATTTCAGTAGTAACTTAGAGTTCAAATGACAACAGTGGTGATTAGGACAGTGCTCAGTCACAGTAAGTGATAGACACCAAGAGGCAAACAAGGAATTTATAACAGGAAAGCATTAGTGCATTCTTATATCCATTCATCTACACACTGATACAAGTCTGTATCAAGTAGAAAGACTGAAATTAAGTTAAAAATGGGCAGCTAGGTGATCATAGATCACAGCAGAAGAGAAGATATAGCGTATTATGTTTTAGCGTAGCAAAATGATTGTATGATGCTATCTGTAACAGTGTATAAATACCAGGAAGAACATGAAAAAAACTTCAGTAAGGACAAAGGAGATATATTTAGGTGTATTTAAAAAGATTTTAAGATGTGGTTTGTCAAGATAGGAAAGAATTGGAATTGTGTTTCAGGAAGCTCCTCCTAAGGTAAAGTTAGTGGATACAGGGAACCAGAGAAGATGGCAACAACACAGTGGCTGTTAAGTGTACCCAAACAAGAAAGACAAACTTCTTTCAGTACCCAGAGAAACACCACATAGTATTAATTGTTTTGTTCAGTCACATGAATTTAAAATGTCAAATTTGAATTGCTTTTTAGCTTAGCCAGCGAATTAACACTAGCACAATGCAGTCTGCAAGGGCTCTCTTTGGACCTTAATCTAATCCTACAGTCACCATCATTACCAGAATTGTTCTGTTGTGCATCATCAGTCCCAAGCACTTTACAGAGTCATAAGAAACCTGGCTGTTGCACACCGCCTATCCAAAAGCTTCTCCTGAAGAATCACCTTCATGTTGTTTGCAAGCTTTACAGCACAACAGGGCACACAAGGAAGCTAATTAGTCACATACCTCCAATTTTCATTGTGGTACACAGCCTGAGGTCCTATTGTTGAAAGTGTAATCAGAGAAGAAATGTTCCTTCAATTTTTAGGAAGGTATTTCTATTCAACGAAGTTCATGCTGCAAGTATTGGTTTTGATTAGCAACACAGAGTACTCTCATGTGCTTGTGGAGCTAATACTCTCTTGCTCAAAGAAGCAAACAAGCAGTTTTATTACACTAGGAATCAGTCAGAGCAAAGCGTAATGTCATTGTGCTTGTTAAACTGCAGGTTGCCACAGGTTACCATCCATGCTCATCAGAAACGAGGTGAACACAAGGTTGCCTTGCTTCATCATACTGCCGAGAGACACTTTGGAGAAACTCCATCCCTATGTTGCAGCTGACTTGGATTCTCTCTCTGAGAAGGCCTGACACAGCAAGGTGGGCTGATTTTATGTATTTCTCTAACTTCTCTAAGCACACAGTATACCCAAAGAGAACAAGGGAATCGGTTGTAACTGTAAACTCTGCTCTGAATGTTATATATATTGAGGAAAACATGTTTTCAGGGAGAACTTCATGCTCAGGTAACAACTCAGGATCAGCTCTGTCCAAGCTATGAGGGCATTAATATAATTAAATACAATACATGCTGTATATAGAAGCATACCTGGAGAACTATCTGGACTATTTAAAAAATGATTAAGTCAGACTCTTAAAAGCTAAACTTTGTCAAAGCTGTTTGGAGTATTGAACACTAAACAAACAAACAAAAAAGGAAAAAGGCCCCTAATAGATCCAAGACCTCAGTGATGTACAAATAACAGCAAATTAGAGCTTGAAATCCTTGGTGATGTTTCTCAACTTCCAAGCTTTCCCCAACAGATTTCCTAAGCAATTTCAAGTTTTTAGATATGAGATCCAATGAAATGGAGAGATAGAAGGCCTTTAGGATTTCCTGTCTAGATTTTCAAACTCCAAATGCCTCTTTCTTCAGCCTCCTGATAATGATACAGCCTAGGCTCTACTTTTTAGCCAAGCAAAATGATACATTATGCTACAATTTCCTTGCAACATTGTCCTTCACAAGGGTGGTCATGGGAACTTGAAAATTCTTGTGTCAGAGCAATGTTTACAACGTACCATTCACCCAGTGCCAGCATGGATGGAATCAAACACAGTTTCTGAGGGCAGCCTTTATTTTTCTACTCCAATTTGTTCTGTTTGTTACTGTACTGTCTACCATACAAGTCAGCCTTTGGACTGCGGGCTTTTCTGATACCTCTACTTTGCAGTACATCTTTCTGCTCAGGAAGACATAACCTCCATTAGTGCTTCATCGTTAGTCTTCAGTATTTATCAGGACTGATTAACTGCACAATACATTTTCTGTAATCATGATCACAAATTGATGTTCTCAAACACTGCATTTTGTGCAAAGCAGCTTCCTAGACTATTTAACTTTTAATCTTTCTACATCAGATCTTTCTTCTCACGTATTAATTTCCTGAGATTAGCAAGGGTTTATTACAAAATGAAGAAATGAGGGGAAGAATATAAAGCTTTTCTTCCCTCTGCTTATTGCAGTGGTTAAGAAAGGCTCATCTAGCTTTGCTGCTCACTCTTTTCCTCCACCTATTTCAAGGCTTATTTTAAAAAGAACGTGACCTGAAAATGTAAGTTAATCAGCTAAAGCTCAAATATTGAGTTTAAAGAAGGGGAAACAAAGCATTTGTAGAATGTAAAAATGTAGAAGTAAAAAGGAGCTGAGCATAAACATGTTTAATGCTCACAGATAACTTTCAGAAATGAAGTCTTTGCTGTGCCTTCAGTTTCTATGCACCTTGCCCTTGTGATCAGAACTCAGAATTTAGCGCTGAACGGTTCATGGAATTCCCTGCATTGCAACCCGAGGACAGGATTTAAAGAGATGTGAGCTTTCCCTCATTCTTGGATTATCTGGCAAATCTTGCACAAAGGTATTTAGGAGGAATGCTGACTTTGCTGGCTTCTCTATGACATTTTCAGTTCATTTACTGAAACAGATGTGTGTGAAAGTGTCAGAAATGGTCATTAGAACATAAGAATGAATGATGCAGGAGTGATACTGCTAGCATTAGGGAAAACTTTAGTACAGCTGAACAGACTTCCAAAGGTAATATTACTAGCTGAGACTGTAAAAAGTTGCAATTTGAACTGGCTTTCCTTCAGCTGAAAGTCATCATGAAACAGAAAATCCCTATTTGATAATATCTAAATTTTAATCTCAAAAATTCACTGAAATTTTTCTTCTTTTGCAAACATGAAGACTTCAGGAGGAGCGCTTTTCAATCCCTTTCAACCACACATTTAGCTGCTAGTTTAATACTCTGAACCCCCTCTTCACGATGGTGGAATTCCATTCTATTTCCTTTCCCAAAGGATCAGATATGCATAGAACAAATACCACAGTGTAAATGGAATTTGCTGCCTCATACCTCAGCGGAGAAGGCCATACACACAGCACCAGTTATAGGCCAGTGGCCATTCTGTAGCTCCCCCATGGAAAAGTGTACTATGTGCAGTGCAAGGTGCCACGACCTGTGTGCTTTAAAACTTTTGGGAAAAATGCAGAGAAAGCTGCCAAATTTGAGATTATTTGCATCCACTCTAGTTTTCTTTCCTGATTCTTTCAAAGGAGGATTCATTATACAATAAATGAGAACAGTCTTCTTCTGGACAGAAGGTATTCTTGCCAATACAATTGAACTTTATTTCAAATAATTTCTTACATTAAAGCTGTATTTTGTTACACAAACAGATAAACCCAGAAGACAAAAGATTCACTTATTCCATTTTAAAATACTGGGCTCATCCAAACTGCAGGAGTTCCTATTCATTTCCTAAACCACGTCAGGGATTTTCCAGGGAAGCAGAAATGAAGATGTAAACCAAATTGTTTAGGTAATTAAGTTAAGGTCCAAGGGAATTTGTAACATCACCATGAAAAGTGTGTATCTGCTCACTCTTGAGGCTCTTTGAAGTGTAAGGTGGCAGAAGTTTCTTTATAAACTCAGAAGTTTTTCATTGAGAGCAATCTGTGACTGCGTGAGGTTTGCCAAGTAGGTTACCATCAGAAGGTCCTGAGAGAAAAAAAGAAAAAAAACAGTCATCAGAAATATTACCAAAGATGACAGCCTGTTGTGGAGATGTGAATTTTTAACACCTGTAAAGCATTTTACAATCAGCTACCAGAACTATTGCTAGTCCTGAAAGTCCTACCCTGAGGAATGCTTCCCTCACAGGAAAAAAACGTTGGTATTCCTGGAACATGAAGCAGCACTTGTGAAATTTTAACTTCGAGTCCACCAGTATTAACCAGGAGAGTCAAAGGGTGTAAGCAAAATTAAAAACTAGTTGTGGTCCTGCAGACTATGGGCAAATAACAGATTCAGAAAACTAGCTCTCTAAAAATTTGTTATGGAAATAAGGTAGCACAATGAAACCTTGCTCGTGCTCTTATGTGTTTTGCCATGAGACAGAACTTCATGTCAGGCAAAGAAAGCAGGGAAAGTCACTAGTTATCATCAAAACCTATACTGCATGAAGCGTGGTAATTCATATTTTCCCAGCACTCTAAAAGAAGAATCTGTGCTGCCTTTCAGATTACTTGCAAAATTCCTATGTGCTTTTAAAGTAATTCTCTTATTTTCCATTGTTTTTAATATGGTGAGCTCTCTTACCCACCCTCAGCTCTTAAAACATAAAATAAGAGACAGGAATGGGCTGTGTTTTTTATGACCGTGTTGGTATGAAAAGGTAGTTTTTTTTGTAAACAAAATTGTGTCTGTATGACAGTAATACACCTAGAAAGAAGACAATTAACTTACATTAATATTGCTGTTCAACATGGTCTCAAAGTCCTCTGGTGAAATCTTTGGCACCTGGTTAATAAGATCCATCAGAAAACGCCCCACGGTGTTGTCAGCAGCCACTTTGCCAGACTATGCATAAGAAACACACTTCAGCATGAGTAAAACTCAGCAAAAAAAAAAACCCCGTAACAACAAGATGCATAATCTTATATCAAACTTCAGTCTCATAAAAAGTTTGCCTTACCAATACATCCTCTGCATACTGTAGCACCATACCCAGGGTGTCCTGAATCCTGGCTGAGGCTGACCCCACCTGCTGTAAGTCACTGGACAAGCCAATCACTCGATTAGGGCTAAAGCAGGTCTTCATTATGAGATCCACTGAAAGCAAAACAAGGATCACTGAGAAATTTGACTGACACAGAAAGCAGCTTAAAACTTTAACTTATTGAAGCCTTTTTAGGATAGCATTAGTTTCAGTGAGACAGTGAGACACCCACAGAGTGGTAATTTTACCAGGATTAATAAACAAACAGCATTTGAACAGCGTCACAATAGTTAGAACCATAATAGGAAGAAAGCATTCACCTCCTATCCGCTCTGTGTCGTAATAAACGTACTTCACTGTCAGTGGTGTGAACATCACGCCCATAGTTTTACCAGGGACTCCCATTGGGGCACTAGGAAAACAATACATAAATTCAACATGGACATATCTGAAAGGAAATAAATAATTTCTTTCCATCTCAATGACCTCTATTAGCACGAGAGTGTGAACATGAGTAGGTTACTCATTCTCACTAAAATCAGCAATATTAAGACCACGTATAACCAAGGATAGGAAATCAATACAGGCATATTATTAACTGCAAATTTTCATCCCAAAGTATTCCTAGCTGGTCTGACATTTATCAGCATGAGTGCATGACGAGTTGAGTACTGTCTTCTTGGTGTGGCTGACATGCCTGAGAGATGGAATGCCATTCATAGAGACCTAGACAGGCTCAAACAGTGGGCCCAGGTAAACTTCATGAGGTTTAATAAATCCAAGTGTAAAGTCTTACACCCAGGTCGTGACAACCCCTGCTATCACTATAACCTGGGAGATGTAAGGATGGAGCACAGTCCTGCCAAAAATGATCTGGAGGAACTGGTGGATGGTAAGCTGGACACAAGCCAGCAATGTGCCTCACTGTCCAGAGAGCCAACCGTATCCTGGGCTGCATCAAAAGTGTGGCCAGCAGGGAGAGGGAAGTGATTCTGCCCCTCTGCTCAGGTGAGGCCTCACCTGGAGTCTGCATCCAAATGTGGAGTCCTCAGCACAGGACAGACATGGACCTATTGGAATGCATCCAGAGCTGGGCCACAAAAATGATCCAAGGGATGAAACACTTTTCCTATGAGGACAGGCTGAGAGAGCTGCAGTTGTTCAGCCTGAAGAAGGGAAGGCTCTGGGGAGACCTGAAAGCAGCCTTTCAATATGTAAAGGGGAGCTATATGAGGGAAGGGGGCAGATTCTTTAGCAGAATCTGTTGTGATAGGAGCAGGGGAAATGGTTTCAAACTAAAGGAGGGGAGATTTAGATTGGCCAAAAAGATGACATTTTCTAAAATAAGGGTGGTGAGGCACTGGTGCAGACTGCCCAGAGAGGTGGTGGATGCCCCACCCCTGGGGACATCCAAGGTCAGGCTGGATAGGGCTCTGAGCAGCATGATCAAGCTGTATGTACCACCGTTCATTACCAGGGAGCTGGACTTGATGACCTGAGGAGGTCATCCAAGAGGACCTTGAGGTCCTCTGTAAATCAAATGATTCTATCTGAAGTTCATTTATGCTTTCAGCATACAAGATGTCACAGAACAGCTTGCATTTTGAAGATGCACGGTCAGGAAGCAGCATGATTTCTGCTACAAAGACTGGGGCTTTATCCTGGAAGGAGGAGAACTATTCAGCAGCCACTGGGAAGAACAGTGAGGTGAAGCAGAGTAGTTTCATTTCTCTATATTTTATCGCCATTATCAATTAATAAAAATGGAAGTGGAGGAGGGGAAGAAAGACTGACCAAGAAGACGCTCTTTCAATTAAGTTCTGAGTGTGCTAATAGTACGACTTGTTTAAGTAAATTGCTGAGCACTAAGATGCAGTGAGTAAAGACTAGCATTCAGACAGTATGATGGAAGTTAATATAACATTGATGCTAGTTATGCTATTCCCGTGAAGCATTGCAAAGATGTTCTGAACACTGCTGAGGTTAACTAAGCCAGTTCTTCACCCCCAGTGAGAAACCAACTTATGAAAGGTTAAGGCTTTCAACTTACGTGCAATGGTCAAGACATTCTGGTAGGAAGAATGCTCTGATCTCTGGCTCACAGTTGTGGTTCAGCTATTGCACAATACTGTCCAAAACTATAGTCTGCTACGTTCCTTGTTATCCTAATACAATGTCTGTTAGTAATTCAGACAGTCCCTGTCCCAGAGTACCTGACGTAGGCTTTAATGCTCATGCGTGAATTCTGGAGACTTGTGTCCACAGTGAGGTGGATTGGATTGTGCGCTTCCCGGCTGTAATACTCGTGGATCAGGACAGAATGTTCTGTGATGTCGTGACCTGTTGCATACCTTGAATAAAGCAAATGTTGAAAGAGCATTCTTCTAATGTTCAAATGCCCAGCATTTGTTGATATTTAACAGGTTTGTATTCTAAAACCCTAATGTCTAAGCACTGAGCTGCAGACGCATAGTAAAGACTAGTATTTTGACTAGGGCATGTGTAGTCTTATGGCTCTCCTAAAATCATAGGCTGAGAACACACATGCCCAAAACATGCATAGGGCCAGTGTTATACTACAGTCACAAAGGACAGTTGCCATCAGACACTCAACAGTCAGTTTTTTTGTCACTATGATCTGGACCAAATCTTTATTTCCTTGTAAATCAAAGCATGCCAAGCAAATTTGGACCAGCAAAGTAGATGTAGAAAACAAATAGAAACAAATGAAACACCTCTGTGCAGGAAGCAGGGCTTATTCATCTAGCTCCTCCAATTGCTCTGTAATTAACTTCCTGCATGCATAGGAAAGTGACTGTCATGAGAACTGCACTTTGCTATGCCATTAGAGGTTGTCAAGGAAGCAAAGAGTTCTGTGCTTGCAGGATTTTGTTCCACAGAAAAGGGTTGGAGAGGATGCCAAAAGACATACAAAGCCAGCTATCCATGCACAGATGAGTTCTTTTCCTATAATACCCCAGCACAAGTCTTCCATCTTTCCTCAGAGAATACCTGCGTGCTCAGGCTAACATGACTGATTTCTCACCAGGCCTTTGGTACTTTTGTCTTCTCCCTTAAGTCAGTTATTTTACAGATTGTAAAATACATTCAAACAGATTCAAACATTCAAACAAGCTACATTCTTGTCTGTGATAGCTCTTCTAGAAAACCAAAATTGCTCTTAAGTCTGCAGTAGCATCTCTTCCTATCTTGAATGACAGCACTTTTAGAACTGTAACAAGAGTTGCAAGACCTCACTGCTGATTCCATTTCTCAGCCTGTGAAAACAGCCATGTACCTCAGGTATACTGAGGGACCTACACGACTGTCCGAACTTTTTTGTAGATGGAGAACTTACCAGCCCAAGATGATCTCGCTGGGAGACACCTTTTTGTGCAACTCGTACATGTTTTTGGCAAACTCCATATCAACAGCCACCTGGGAAAGGGAACAGAGCAGAATCAGAGGGTGCAGGAGCGCCGACACCCGGGCGGAGGGCAACGCAGGACGAAGCCCCGCAGGGACAGCCTCCTTCAGAGCCCCGGCCCCCACCTCGCCGTGCCGCGTGGACGTACCTCATCCTCGGACTCGTTGTGCGGGACAGAGAAGCAGTTAGTGACCTCCACCGAGTGCTTGTCCACAGTGCCTGCGGGGACGACAGCGGTTAGCGGGACGGCGTGGGGGCGGCGTGCTGCCCGCCCCCGGCTCCGCGGCTCTTACCCAGCAGCGTCCCGATGACCCGCGCCGCGCCCTCGTTGCGCCGCTCGAAGCTGTCCACGATGGAGGCGAGCACGACCGGGTGCAGCCGCACCACGCGGCCGCCGGGGAAGGGACCCGAGAGCGCGGCGGACAGCGGCGCGGAGGGTGGCGGTGCCGCCGGGGCGGCGGGCGGAGGGGGCGCGGCGGAGGGGGGCGCGCCCGCCGTCGGTGTAGAGGGAGCGGCGGTCGGGCTGGGAGCCGGGGCGGCCGCGGGAGGGGCCGCGGCCACAGCCGGAGCCGGAGCCGCCATTTTGCGAAGAGAAAGGGGTACGAGATCGAGCCCACGACAATTGGCTAATCGCTACGCCTATCACGCTCCGCCGCCTTCCTATTGGGGAAAAGAAGGCGCTAAGGCCCGCCTGCCATCCGTTAACCAATCCGGACAGAGCGATCGGGCCCACGCTGCGATTGGGGTAGAGCACGCCGCCGGTGACTGCAGCTTAACTTTGTTCCCACCCTCTCGGGGCCGGGCAGTTCTTCCATTGGGTCCTCGCACGCTCCGCCTCCGTGCCCGTCCGCTCTCTCATTGGCTGGCGCTGCTCTTAACTCCTGTCTGTCAGAACGAGAGCCGTGCTGGCGGGTGGTGTGGCCGGAGGGCGGCTTCGGGGCTGCGCCGTTTGGGCGGGGTCTGCCTTGCGGGCTCATACTCGGCATGCGGTCAGGAGTCGGGGCTGCTCTGGCACTCCCATTATCTTGCCCCCGCCCTTGTATCATAAATAACAAATGTGTGACTGTCTCCGTTCAGAACTTTTTCACTGCAGTTTTTAATGTCCGATAAACAGTGAGAGCTTCAAGTGTCTTTGAAATGCTTGCCTTTTGGTTTCCGGCTCTTTTACAGCAGCTAAGCCCTGTGCTATAGAACACAAAAGTTTGCAGGGCTTTAGAGTCCTGTCCACTTCATTAGCTGATGGGTTAATGTCATCAGTCAGGAAGGACTTCCAGGTCAATCTCTGGCAATCAGCTCTTGAGCCTATTGGGAGCAGCACAATAAAACAAAAATGCTCTCTCCCCATGTGCCCCATTTCCTTTCTTATCTAACTGGGGAACGTGTCAAAGCTACATTAGAGAGTGCATAAGAACATAGTCTGGCTTTATCTGTTCATAAAAGCATTTCCTGGTGTGCTTACCGGTAAAAACCGGCTCTCCTGCTTGTAGGCTTTCACCATCCCTCCTTCCTTTCCTATGGGTGTGTCTGGGTTAAACTGCATAAGGCTTTAGGATGTTTCTGCTCCTGGAGCTTTGATGTGTCATTGTGAAGTCTAATGTGTGAGGAGTGCTTGTTAGAAAGTAGACGCTCCATCTTACTTTTGTTTGTAGCTTTGCTGCTTGACGTGGCATGGTCAGCTGCACGCTGAGCAAGGCATTTTATGATCTGTTTGCATTTCCACCTTTAAAACTGGGCAGCTTAATATGGAGCTGCAGTTGTGCTCTGAAACTGGCAGCTATGACACCCTTCTTTTAATAAACTGATATCAGGCTGCTGAGCACCATGCTGGTGAGTGCACGTCATGAGGCAGGATGGCTCTACGTCAGGAGTCAGAGATCAGTGCAGAGACCTCCTGATGCAAAAACTGTATAAATCTTGTCATCTAAGAAGTAAAAAAATCCATTGGGCATCGCGCAAAGGTGTCCAAGCTACTTTTTCTTCTTTTTCCTTGCTGTGACTAGTGAAAAGTAGTGATCTTCATAATTAATATTCTTTCACAAATGATCAGTTTACTGTTAGGGGAGAGTGGTTATCGGTGGCACATACTGATAGTGCCCGTTGCTGAAAACTTGGTGTTCATCTCTGCACAGCCATAAGATGTTTGTGTATCACCCCATAACAGTGAGATCTGCCTGCCTGCAGGAGAAACAAAGGATGCAATGTCACTTGAATGTGGATCAATGTGATACCTTCTGATTTTCCACTTTCCCTTGCTTGGCTTCCCCGTATCTGATTTTGACAATGAATGTAATTGACCTTCTAGCCCTGCTTTTGTATGATTTCTCTTTACAGTTCTTACATGTGACTGAATCATTATTTTTGCATGTGCTGTTATGTCAGCTGCATTTTCACAGTGATATATATTTCTATATCAGTAGCTATCATCTCATCTCGGTTGTGCTACTGGAAAAAAACATCATTTCTTGTTTAAAGGCAAAAAAACTTCAATTGCATTAAAAATCTTGCATTGCATTACAGGTAAAATAAAATATTTAGAATTTATTTGATTTCTCATTTCAGGATATAATTTTATCTGATTTCTTTCATGGAATTAGAACTGATTTTTTTTTCTTCCATTATTAAAAGAATAATTTTCTGTTGAGCCTAAGAAATTAGGACAGCCTTTCATTTATTTTTACCAAGGGAAAAGTCAGTCACTGAATTTGATGTGCGTTTCATGTAGTCAATCTTAATTAGGAAAAAGAGAATAGCAAGACTGATTTTCTGAATCTCTTGGGATCAAAGGATGGAAGTCTCTTTTCCTGCTTGGAACATCAGGTCTGTGTCTCCAGCTTTCACTGTGTTCATGGAACTCCCTCTTTGCCATTTCTCATGGTCATGTTGCCAGCACTTTAGTTGTCTGTTGGTTATCTGTGTTTTTCAGGACTGTATGGTAACTTTTGGGTCATGGCCTGAACCACTGATTGAGCACCTGGGGAAAGGAGCGGGTCAGCCCTGGGAGCACAGGTGAAGGCAGTTCAGTTGTGTGACCAGAAGGGGTGGAGCCTGGCTGCACCTCTCTTAGACCCCATTTAAGGGTGATTGCCAGGGGGAAGGATCTCTTTCTGGAGATCTCTTCTTGGTGAAGCTTTCTCCTATGAATCCTGGAATCCTCTGTTACAGGTGAGTAATTGTCTTCCCTTCCTTTATAGTGCCTTTACATTGTGCTGGTCCTTCCATCATTGCATTTCTGTTGTAGTGCCTTTCCTAGTATATTGGTCTGTCTAATTTCTACAAGGATTTGTGTAGTCTACCTTTTCTCCAGGGGCTCTAGTGTGAAGTAGTTATGGATAGTGTCTTCTGTTATTTCTTGTTTGTTTTTAATCTAGTTAGTTTGCTTGATTTTAAGTAAAAAAAATTAGTAGTTTCTTATTCAGCCTTAGGGGAGTGTCTTAGATACTTCTCTGCTTCCTGTGTATTTGTGATTGCCAGTAGATTAAAGGCTACTGTTGGCAGCCTAATTTCTAGTGTGTTTTTTGCCTTCATATTAGCAAAAGGAATTCAAACCTTTTTTTGCTTTTCTGTGATGTTTTATGGGGCTACTTTAATTATCAGAGAGCCTGTACTGATGTGAGGAACTACTGAGGTTGATGCTAGTATGAAAATCACAGTACTACAGAAAAATGGCAAGGTATGGTGCTAGTTGCATATACTTACTTTCTCTAAAGTTACTTGTAATGAAAGTTTTCATCAGGTGTTCAGAGAACTGCATGGCGGTGACTATTGTGTGCTTGTTAGCTGCTATGTAGAAATACAGAAATCCAAGCTTGAAAACAAGTAACTTCACAGAAAAACTTATAGTGAAAACTTAATATAGAGAAATGTACGCAGAGACTTCAGTGCCAGGACTTTGAAATCACTGAAGATGAGGAAATAGAGTGTAGTGGAAATGCTGAGTCATGGCCTGAAGCGGTGATTGAGCACCTGGTGGAAGGCAGGACCAGCCTAGAGGAGCTCAGGTGCATGCAATGCATCTGAGTGATGGGAAGGGGTGGAACCATGATCCACCCCTTACAGACCTTATCTAAGGGTTGGCAGAGGAGGTGAAGGTATATCACTGGAGATCTCTATCTAATGGAGGCTTTC